GTGGTTTTTTTCGACGCATCAATTAATCTGTGACTCCATGCGTGACCATCGCACAGATAATGTGAAAAACATGGTGAAACAAATGAACGCTGTGCTTGCCGTTATTCCGAGAGGTCTGACAAAGGAGCTTAGGACACAAAGGAGATATATCTGAATTTGAATATATATTTGAACTATTTACAGTGTCAATAGTGCATAGTAGAGCTTTGTTGTGTTTTTTCTATCCTTTTTCTTTTGACCTCTTGTCAAACACGAAAAGTCTGACTTAACAGAGAAAGTCTTGGGGAAAAAAAACCCCAAAAAACATTGAGGTACATGTGTGCCAAATGAATTAAACATTGTAGTTTCAGACAATTCTTTTTGAGAATTACCAACCTGCTGGTCAGGCTGAGCTTTGTCTTTCTCTTGCTGAAGCTCGTCCCTTAGTTCCTGGGGAACAGACAGCCAAAAATCACTCATAATAAGAGAAATAGAGATATACTAATCAACTTCCTATCAGTCTTGTTACAGTCATGAAAAACAGAAAACAAATACACAGTTTCTGCTTCCTTAGGATTTTAAAGGTAATGCACAGCTAAACAAATGCAGGTGATTGACTGATCGTCAGCAAATGGCTCCACATCACTGCCAAGGTGGAGAGACGTGAGCAGTGATAATAAAAAACAAAAAAACAAAAAAAAAACAAAGAAAAATCACACCTACTGCTGCAAAAAAAAACTGTGAAAGGGTCAATAAAACAATCTTCCAAACCCAAAGTTCTACTGTTAGAAAGATTATTTACAAGTGATAATGTACATTTCAGGGAAAAAATCTTTCCAGGAGGGATGTTCCAGCAAGGTTATCATTTTGTCAAACAATGTAATGTTCTGAGAAATGCCCAAGAAAACTAACATTACCTTTACATCAAATACTATAATGTTCCGAATATAAAAGGTTGATACAAGTACAAAAAAATGAAAAATAGAAACTGGAACAGTTAAGAATAACAGCTTCTTCTTATCTCCCCAAAAATCTAGTCAAAACATCATATGTTTGTAAGATTGCTGCAACGTCTGGCCAAACTTCCTTCTAGCAGAATTGCAGGACCCACACTGCGCCGTGGCTAATGTGAGTGTATGCATTAATTTTAATGATTTGAGTTCCTTGTGGCGCCTGCACTGCCGCTGCACCGCAGCAACACTGTATTCAGTGTGAGCCCAGTGTCAACATGAACATAAAGCTGTTATAAGATCTCTAAGGTGACAAAACCAAGAAACCTGACTTTTTCATGTAAAAAGTGTGTTGGTCTTTAGTTAAAACCTGACAGAAAATCCAGGGTGTTAAAGTGGCTTGTTTATTTAATGAGCATAAACACGAGTCAAATTCTCTGTCAAAAAGAAAAGAAAAAAAAAGCAGAATCTGTATGAACATTTTGAATTCATACCTTAAGCTCCTGATCTTTCTCTGCTAAGAGATTGGAGAGCTGTTTGGTTGATGGTGAATCCGTCTGTTGGTCTCTGCTGCCATGCTGTTGGATCAAAGCCTCCTGGTTCTTTATGGTGATCCTGAGCTGCTCAATTACACTGAAATAGGCAAAGAACATAGTTTGTTTGCTACCTCAAGCATTGAACTGGCCTCAGTTATGAACATACATAATTTTAATGTTCTACTCAGATCAAATAAGATGTTTTTCCAGTTTTCATATAGGGAACAAGAAGCCAGAGGGTTTTAGAAAGCAGTGCTGCCTTTTTATCTACACGCATATGGGCTGAATGTCTTTCTAAATAAAATAAATAAATTATGTTATATTGTTGTAGCTAGTAATAATAACTTTGAAATAAATAATGTAGTCACAACAATTATTTTTAGGTTAAATGTATTTTGAAGTCTTCTGATGAGCTTAAGGTCATTAGAAGAGTTTGAGAAGCTTGTGAACCAAAATATGAACACAATATACCAATAGGACTGCAACAAATAATTGGATTAATCAATTCATGAAATATTTGTCAACTGATTTAGCAATCAAACAATCGTTATTTAGTGTACAGACACTCTCACGTAGGCCATTAGCTGAAACACCAATCTCCTCACTGTAGCAATTATGCCAAAACTGTAAAAATAATATATAAACATTTTAGATTGATGGTGAAATAAATGTTTTATATGTAAATTTTTTATGCTCTATCCAGATCTCCTCAAGTGACTTAGTTCCAGCTTCACCTGGTTCTAACTTTTGAATAAAATCTTCTCTAAAGATTAAGGGTACATCCAACAACATTTTTTGCAAATTGATTAATCTGTTGATTATTTTTTTCAATTAATTGATAAATAATCGGATAGCAAAAGGTTCTATAAAGAATATTTTTTGCTAAATTAAACCAAGTGAAAATAAAGCTTTTCCAAATAAGGAGATCTGGATGGAGCAGATTAACAGACAAAAAAAATTTTATCTTAAATGCAAACTGTTTACAAAGTTTTTTTTTTTTTTTTTTTTTTTTACACTTTTGGTATAATTAATGCTCTAGGTGGATCACTTTGTCAGCTAAAGGCATTATTACCAGTCTCTATACTCCAGTTAATGATTAATCGATTATTAAATTAATTAAGAATGTTTTCAATATTCGATTAATCTGATTAATTCAGCCCTACTCAAGATCATTGATCTAAAAAAACGGTTGTTGACAGACGTCAGTTGCAGCCCTTTTTGCCAGCATTCTTGATGCGACCTGGTCCTAAATGTCCTCTCCTATGACTTCTTGAAAGGGCCTGCAGGTCCAGGATTAATGGCAAACTGATGCATGAAAAATATATAAGACTGGTAGATAGACTATTCAACAGTATACTCTAATAATCACTATTAACTGCTATATACACTAAACACAATTCTTTCAAGTTCTTTGATCTGATTTTTGTTCTTACTTGTCTTTGACTTGTAGGGCTTGCTGTAAATCCTGCACTGGATTTGGGAGAGACAAAGGGCTGTTGCCACCTGCTAAAGCAACAGCCTGAAGTTGCTTCTCCATCTTTATACTCTTTAGTTTTTCCTGTTCAGCAATGGCAGCCATCTTTCCAACCTCTTCTTCAGCTGCCTGCAAATACTGAAAAAAGCAAACAGATGCAACTTTTATGCTACATTACATTTCCTAGACTAATGATTTTTATAGGCAAAACTAATATTGATCTGGAAAAAGTGCTTAAGAAATAATGCAACTGAACACATTGTAGATCTATAGTTGCAATCATGGGAAGGTTTTTCTTGTACATGAAAAGTACAAGAAAGCTAGTAAATCTTAACTTTACTAGCAAGTCTTTACTATATTTACCTGCTCCAGTTCTGCTATTCTTTTATTGAAACCATCTCTTAATGCATCCATCTCCCTCTGAGCTTGCTCTCTCACTCGCTGGGGTTCTCCTGATTCTCGACCAGCCAGACTTTCCAATGCTTTACTAGGATAAACATAGAAGATTTTAAGATTTATAAGAAAATAATTAATTGTATAATTAGTTTCAAATAATTAGAAATCAATAAATTTTTAATTACCGGTAATAAAAAAAAAAAATCAGTTTTTAAAACTTAAACAGTGCCCTTTTCAGAAACCACTCAAATACTGTATATCTGACCTTAAAGGACAAGACAGCTAAATGATACTTACGATGCAGACACTAGCAGCTCTTGTTTCTCAGCTAGCTCTCTCTTCATGGACTCCAACTCCACTTTAAGCTCTATGTTCTATAAAGAATGAGCACTTTGTAAAGAACAAGCTGAATGTGAAAAAGCACAGAAAATCTACAGCATTATGTTGTTATTAGTCTAAACTCTTAACCTGCTATCTGTGCTGTTTTATGACCAAACTGGATATTATTTTATATTTTCCAAAGAAAATCAATGCAATTTGTGGATGAAGCTAAAATAATTTCAAACCATAAAGATGATTCTGGCAGACATCAGACTAAGCCCCCATCTCTAACTATTTTCAATCTATAGCTACATCAACCAATAGCATGTTCTTTGAGTCCAATTTATATCAGATAGAGGTTAGGTATATAACTTATATGTGAACATTTTTAACTCATGTTCACATGGATTCCAAAACTACCTCTAAAAGATAAGCTGCATTTTCCTTAAAAAACTATTTATAATCAGTTAAATTTAAAGCCAGCAATTCAGATTTTAAAGAAAACCCAAAGGCGATGTGAGACAGGAAACTCTGACGTGTGCATTTCCACTAATGAGACTAAGGGCATATAATCCAGATAAAAAGACTTTAAAATCCCATTAGATAACTTTAGGATCTTTAATCTAGATTATTTTTGGATCTAATGCTCCAAACTCATTTACAGGGGGGTAATAAGACACAACAGTAATATCTTGCCTGATTCCCACAGGACATTTTATTTAATATAAAATAAATTTAATACCGTTTTAAATATGTCTTCTGTGGAGTCATCACATTTCTGCTGGATGCGCTCCTCCATGAAGTAAATGCGTAGCTTGAGATTAAAGTTCTCTTTCTTCAGAGCTGTGATTTGCTGTTAAACATAGAGATATTTCATTAAACCCTTAAATGCATTTAAAAAACATTCATGTGGCAACACATTCCCCAGATAAGTAAAATCTTGGAAATAGTATTTCTGAACAAAGTAAATTTACATCAATTCAGATAGGGGGAATGAGGATGGTTATTTTCAAAAGGAAGGGAGGCTTGTATGTGTCTAGCAGACTGTGCATCATTGTGCTGGAGGGTCAGAGCAGCATACATCTGGTAAGTGGGGGTTGGGGAGCACAGTTAAAGGGAGGAGTTAGAAATCTGGACCACTCTATAAAATCTCTAATCATGCAACTAGTAGACAGCACGTGCCTAAAACCTGAACATGCATTCCATTCAAATGTTGAAATGCAGAGTTAAGCCCACCTCAAACCCCCTCCTGTTCCTCCTACACACATGCTTCATCACCAAATGTCCATAAATGGAATTTCTTGGTTTATAACAAACTGTGGAACTGAAGTTCATAACTGGTTTTATAGCAGTGGGGTAAAGTGTTATTTCTAACCTGGAATTAACAGAGCTTCTCATCTGACAACAATTCCCCAATTAGTGCAACACCTTTTCACCAACAGTAAGCCTAAATGTAAGAAATAAAATTTAAAGTTGCTCTTTTACTCACATTCTCATAGTCCTTCATGGTGAGAGCCTTGATAGGGGACATCGTATCAGGATAGGATGGAGCTGAGAAACAACGAGCACATCTTTTACCACATTAAGATAAACATTTTAGAACAGAATCTATAACACAGAGAAGCCATTTATGTTTAAACAGAAAGGTATCCAATTTATCCTCCTTTAATTATAGAGAAAGAAAGAAAGCAAAAGAGAAAGGGATGTTTCTTTTTAGTACAGAGTCACCAGAGGGGAAACAACTTTTGGAGAGCTTCCCTGTTTGAGCCAAATGAAGCAGTGAGCAGCTGATCATATAACAGTATGACAACAACACATTTCCCAACTCTGACTCTTGACTCAGGATTTGCTCCTGCTCAGCAGAAGGCAGACTCTGAATGTGTACCTCAAACATTCTCTTATTTGCAGTGTTAGTACATATGTTCCTAGATTTCACATAACTTCTCTATGTTTTTTATTTTTGTGTAAGCATGGATTTAACTTTTTTTTTTTTTTTTTTTTTTTATCAAACGTTAAAGGTATAGAGGACAATCTTTTATTTCTGGGTGGATCAGCTCAATAAGTGGTCCTCCTAATTGTCAATCATTCAGGTGATATATTTACGTAAGGATGTCCTACTGCTCTTCCCGTTATCTATCTTTTTCTGCGCATGCGCACTCTGTGGTGCATATCTGTAGTGAGCTAAGGTTTCAGAAAGACAGTCATTGAAGCTCACCTTTCTCAACATGGTTCTTTGAAAATGGTTGAGGGCTGTAAGTGTCTACGAAGTGTATGAGAAGAAAAGAAAGCCCTCAGAAGAGGCAGATATATCCTGGAATGCTTTGCGCAGAGAGCTTTCCTCGCCAAGCATTATGGGATTTGCCGTCATAGCAGCCCACTGTCACTACCTGACAGCATCGACTAATAACAAAGATGGAGCAGGTACCGTGTAGTGGAGGAGTTACGTGACCAACGGCACAAAATAACTTTTAAACAGAGCTTGCACGAGGAGAAATGGGTTTGTGCATGGTCTTACACACGCATTTTCTTTTTAAAGTGGAGAGGGCAGGTCTTTCAAAAAAATTCACGAAAATCTTCCACCATACCATTAAGTTAAAATACACAAATTTTTTGAAGACTTCTTCGGGTTTCTGCAATAAAAAAAAAAACTGACCCAGCCATATTAGCACCAGCCATGTTGATAATGAATATGAAATCCAAGATATCCTTAAAAATTAATATTTTTTTGAAAACATTTTTCTATAATTTCTATACTATGAGGAACAAAGCATGGTTCATGTTCAAATGAAAAAAAAGTCTTAAAAAGAGTCTTTAGGAATTGACCATTTTACTATTTTCATACTTGTCCAGAAGTCAATGTAAATATTTTATTGTAGGCTTTATAACAATCTAAAAATGTAATTAATAGAGGTTTATCTTAAAGAGGCCTATTCACGTTCTACGACTGAACAAATTTCTGTGCCATGTTTTTTTTAAATTAGATTATTATGCCCTGCTAGCTTAATTTGTAATTTCTCTGTATTTTTTTCTGTAAAATTTACTAATAAACAAATGGTTCTAAATATTGCTAACATAACAAGACCACACGGTCAGAAGGAAAATATTGTGCATGTGTATAATGAGTAAAGAAGGAGAAACACGTTATATGGGGTGGGAGAAGAAAGAGTTCATGATCAAGTGTAAAAAAAGAATACATACATGCTAAAGCTACAGAGGCTTTCTGATATTGCTGCCCAGTTGATGGATATGTGAGTTAGGGGTGTGGGAAATAATCGTTTTGGCGATATATCGTGATATTCGGCTGCCCAATATAATATCGATCTTTCACTTCTTAGTATCGATTTAAAAAAAAATGGTTACATAAAACATTGATGGGAAAATGGGCTACCTCTGCACCACCACTCTGGCAGAAAGCGCTGTGGGGCCCTTTAACTGTGCGTGCAGCACCAAATCTGTATTTGAGGCAGTCACAGTGGAAGAAAACCCCAAACAACATGGATAATAATACCTAATCAATATTTTCTGATGAAAATATACAGCACTTGCTGTTTTATCTCATCATTTGATTTTGATAGCTGGGGAAAATATGGCAATATATAGTGATACTGCAATATGGTGATAATATCGTATTGTGACCCAAGTATCGCAACATGTATCGAATCGCAACACTCATGCCAATACTCACCTCTAATGTGAGTACACACTAACTAACACAGATACTGTTGATAGCAGTGGTATTCTCAGGCTCCAAGTTCTAATGACAAACCATCATATAGTATCTAATGCATACAATATTTGCTACTGTTCAAGATTCCAATTTGTTGATATATAAGCAAAGCAACAATGCGATTGCTTTCTGGTCGCTCCATTATTTTCAGGCTAAAAAAGTACAAAGTAAACACTGTATAGTATAAGTTTCAGATTTTTTATTTAAAAATCTATAGCTTTACATACATTTCTTTAACTTAGATTATTTAACAAGGCAAATAAGTGGGCATTTATTTGTGGATTTTCTGCCAGTCAATTAAAACACCATGATCAGTGAATTAGGGCAAATAGACAAGTTCTCCTTGGTAGATAAACAACAAACAATGTTATTTGAAAATAAAGTAATATAAAACGCTGCTTAATATTTAGACATAACTAACACTCTTGACAAGTGTTAAGCAAGCCTAAAAACACAAACGCAGCTCTAAAATCCTTTAACGTGCCAAACAAAATAAGATGTAATGCTTTACTCAAGATGCCTTGTAGATAGGGCTGGACAATAATTCAAAATCACTTTGTATAATAATATAATTGTATTCAATAAAGATATAACCTTTCTCATATTCCAATGTAAATTAAGATATGTCTAAATTTCTAAAAATGTTATACTGAAGGAGTTTTACAACTATAGCAAAAGATAATCATAAATTGACATTTTTTTTTTTTATCAAAAGTGAATAGTTCTGAGGGTATAATTTTGGTTGCATCAATATGCAATGATGAACCTTCTGTAAAGATAGTAAGAAGATGTTCTTAAAGGAGTAACACCCCCCCATAACAATTTTACTAAACAAAACAGCAGCGAAACAAATGCAAATGTCCTGCTGTTATGCTTTACAAACTTCGTCCAAACAAATACCAATGTCCTGAAACAACAGAAAACAGTCCATCTACAAGAGGAATGCTTCAAACAAATAAGACTGAACTTGTCTGAAGTTATCATCTGACAAGCAAACACTGACAGATTTGGTTAGAGATTTATTTTGCTGAAAGTTATCAAAATGGAGAAGTGCATACTTTTATTGACTATCCTCCAAAGAATATTTTTATTTCAACCACAATCACAGAAAACAGATTTACATGTGACATTAAGTGACGGAGAACAAAAGTCACTAAAACGTATGTTTTAGTAAAAGAATAAAATATACGAAAGAAAACAGTTTAACCATTAACATCAAACAATCTGCTGAAAGTCTGTACAATAAACTTAAATCTGTTGTATAAAAGTCTGCTAACTTTTAACACACAAGAGGATTATTAAATATATATTATGAAAAAGAGGGTACACTGATTACCATCAGCTTGTTAGTCGCTTGTTAAGGATTTGGGAGATTATATTGTAGGAGGGATCCACAATTAAAAGCAGAATTAATTAATACACATGAGAATCGCACACATGGGCAGGAAAACAAAAACAGGAGTACAAAAATAGATTTTTACTCTACCTGTCATGCCGTCTGAAGAATATTCCGCTGCATTTATGGAGTCTGGAAGTCGGCAGCTGGAATAAAACATTAATTTGTTAATCGACACTTATACTGTTCTCAAGCAAATATCGATTTACTGTTACAACTGTTTTTGTTTCCCGAAATTACAATGATATAGCAAAGAAAAATCCCTGAAAGAAAAATGTCACTTGTTTATACAATAAATACTACGAAATGTTGTTCATGTAATACTCATAGTGGCTAGCTCCACTGAGCCCCAAGGACACTCCATAAATAGCTTAGGAATGACTCCGCTTCATTTACATTCACTCCAGCTTAGACTCTTTCTGTGTATGTATGTGTGAGTTGCCAAATGTCTCTATGAGTGGGTTCCAAAAAAACAGATTAATACAGCTCTGATAGCTAGCACTAAAATAAAAAATTTAATTACATTCTGTCTATGCTGATATCTTTAGCATTTTGGTCAAGTTGCAAGAAAGGAATTGACTTTTTGACAGGATGCATAGAAGATGCAATAACAGGGATTTGTGTGTAGGTGACATCATGTTCCAGAGGCAGCAGGGCTTTTGTATTCACAGCCGGAGGACACAAAAAACCCCCGTCAACTTAGAGGTTGGAAGGAGCTTTCATTTGCTAGACAAGCAGAGCACTGTGGCCTAAGACCAGCAAAGCATCACACAGTGAACGGACAGTGATGTTACAAACCCAGAACAAAGCACAAAGCAACGGTCACTTCAGTAAACAGCAATGGAGGACAACACAAATCATTTACATGTCTTATGGCTGATTTCTAAAGAATTATTTCAGAAAGAAGGAAAATTAGCTTTATATAACAAAAATGCCCAACCGACCTCTGACCTTTATCATAAACAGTGCAAATCCCATATAAACATCAATCCAACTGCTCCACTTACTTAATATAAAGCAAGAAAAACAACAATTTATACTCAATTATTATTATTGCAACAACATTTATCTAATGACAAAATGAAACTGAATATAGACTCTGCAAACTCCTCTTGAATTGCTAAAGTATTCTTGACCTTTCACATGTTTCTCACAATACAGCCAAACAAACTCAACCTATTTAACTGAGATTTTATGGACCAAAACAAAAAGGTAGTGGATAATCACTGAGCGGAAAAAGAAATGAAAACTTTTTAGAAAGTTCTTAAAAGTAACATCCTGAAAACTCCTGCATGCTCATGCACTGTATTCGACCCAATATACCCCTAAATATAATCCAATAAAACCCAACTACTTCTCAAAGTCAGATTTGATGCTATGTAATCCCTTGTTGATAATATTGTTATTCTATATTTTTTTTTTTTTACAAAGGATTTAGCAGACCAGGTAAGACTTTAGTCATAAAAGCAGCCAATAATCAATGGAAACCTGAACGAGCTGTAGAGATCCAAAGCTGGACCATGAGAATCTGTCAACAGGATGACTATTAGTCATTCACCCTACAAATCTGGTCTTTACTACAACAAGAAAAGAAAATGGAACATTGTTAAAACAAAGCGAACAGAAATCCCATTTTTGCTGACATTGCAAAATTGTAGAGGGTACACAAGCACAATATGATAGGTGCACATGTCTCCCTTTAGTGCAAACATATCAGATATCCTCAATAATTTTAGGAACCCAACAAATGAGGAGCTTTGATCGTATAAAACCAATGTTCACCCCTTTGAGCTATAATATAAGGGCTATGTTTAGCAGACAACTAACGCTGCACACTACGCCGAACACACCTTCCCCATGGCGGAAACATGGTGGTGTCAGTATCATAATTTAGAGTTAACTGGGTCCAGGGAAACTGAACAACACAGCTTCATATTGAGCCACACCACATTTTTCAACTTTATTTGTATAAAAACTACAATAATATTTAAATATCATCCCAACAAAAAAAAGAAAAAAGAAAAGCTTAGTGGCTTTAACATTACATAATATTAAAAGGTACAAGGGCTGTAAATACATTTTGTAATTATCTCTACTTGTACACAATATAATTCTAGTTTTATTCAGTTTATTTTCTGTCTCTGTTTGTTAGGAATTTCATTGTGACTAACACATAATGTTTTTAAATAATCTATAGTTTTAGGGTGAAACCATCATAACATGCCGCTATCTTAATTCAGGTTTGACCCATAGAAAAAATATGAGAGCTAATCAACAACAGTTATTATGCCAATGTCCATTGTAACACAATATTCCTCCAAAAACACTGAGCTGACTGAGCCTCATTGCATCACAAGAGGTTTCACATGCCAAGCAGCCTCTTCCTGTGTAAATAAAAAAACAATCCTCTACAATGAGAGCAGCTGAAACATAACAATTCATACTAATCTTAAAAATATTTAACAAAGCAACAAAAAAATCCACTACTGAAACTAAAAATATAAAGAGGACACTGTGATTACTCAGTGTTTTGTCAATGTTACATACATGCTAACCCTTCCAGTGGAAACAATGCAAGATTCTGTAAACAGTGACTTCCTCTTTTTTTCTCTTTTCAGCTTCAGATATCAAACGTAAAAGCAGCAAACAATTCAAAAATTTAGGACTATTAAAATGAAACAACCGCTAGATTTAAATGACCCATCCGCATAAAAGTTCATATTTTTAACAAAACTGAAAGAGCAACGAGAATCAGATTTCAGAAGTAGACAGAAAGTAACTCACACCAAACCACACATATCAGCTGACATCTTGTATTACTGAGGCACGCTTACCACCTGGATGGCTGCTGGTTCTCACACACCAACACACACCACAGCTGGACAGTCACGTAAAGGTGAAACAACTAACAACCAAAGCATGTGAAGACCAAACAGCAAAGATGCTATAACTAGTTTCAAAGCGGAACAGGAAAAGCTATGTACTAGCTATTTTAACAACCTCCATCCCGTAAGAAAGCTGTAATAAAGTACGTTTACCTACCAAAATCACAATCTTCGGAGGCGGAAAGCAAGCGTGGGAAAGAAACAAACTGAAAATAAACACAGCATAACTGCCCTTCTTGCATGAAGGCTGCAAAGAGACGTCGCAGCCACAGTCGGAGCACATTGGCTCATAATTTCCGCTTTATTGCACCCTGAATGACAGTTCAAAAAGCCGCCCTACCATCATAGTCATTTTACAACATCATCCAATCACATGGAGACGACCTCTAATTTCTTTTAAACACAGTTTATATCTTACGTACCGAGCAATTACACGCTATGCTTAATGCTTAATTCGTTCCCTCCATCTGTGTTGGTAATAATAAAATTGCAGCACAATTTAGGTAGGAGGCATTATAGATTAGTTAAATTCAGACACTTTTTAACTTATTTTCTATGTTTCGTCAAGAAATGTACTTAATACCGTATATTACTACGTGATAATATGTCAACTAGCCTTAAGCAGACGTTAAAGCTGGATAAGACTTGATAATACTTTATAAAATATCACTAGTAAAAGGTATAAAAAAGGTCACCAACAAAAAGAGGTGTAAAAAAATACAAGCTAATTCAATACACATTACAAACAACTCAATATGCCTAAATAAATACCAACTAAGTGACAGTGAATGCGGCGTTATTTTACAACTTTGTAGTATGCTTTAGCTACAACAAAACAACGGTCTTGACATGCTAAGCTAGCAGCAGCTTGCTAGCTTTTCTTGTTTCACTTTTTTTTACCTTCCGTTGATATCGACGGGAAGCGTCACGTCGTCCCCAACGATAGAATCCATCATAGCGGTCAGATTATTTAACGTGTTTACCAGCAAATCATTTCACCTTTCCCTCCAGGCGCGGCTTAAACTTCGAAAAGCAGATAAGAATTCAAAACAGTTCAGGCTACCGCCATAATGATATGGGCAACGTCACCATCGTGCACGTTGAAACCTCGTGATGCTTTTGGGTGCTGTGGGATTTTTTTAAACTACTGTAAAAAGGGTCCCAATTTCACATTTAAAGAGGTGAAATAAATTCACCTACAATTGCGGGAACCCATTATATGTTGTAAATGTTCTATTCTCTTAAATATATATGTATTTATTAATGTGAAAATGCGCAGTGATTTTCTGTTATTACAGCCATTAGAACATTTCCAACTGTTGGGAAGGTAGCGTTGAGCTGGGTGTATAGTGGAAAAAGAGCCATTGGTCAAAGCAAACACTCGAGGGAGGGACGTGAGACTCAAAAATATCCCTGCTGTCATTTTTAAATAAATTGTTCCAGTTGAAATCTCCCTACTGGGTACGTCACTGTTTGTGGTTAAATGAAAACTATAAGAACGACATACTTTAATAAAATAAACAGTTCATATAAATCATTTTTTGTAAATATTGATACATGAAATCTAGCCAGAAAAACAAAAGATATATTTGAAATAAATTATGCAAAAGTTTAATAGCTACTTTATCTGTTTTCCCTTCATTTAGACATTAAACGTGTGTGGGTACATGTTAAAATTGAAATGCTCCTTGATTGTGTGGTTAATGTGGTATGTTACAGCATAATTAGCTATTAGTCTATAAAAATGTTTAATACACAGTTGAATAAAGACAGATTACATGAATATGTAATGTGGACAGTTTTGTGAGGAGAGTCTAGGTCAAACAAATAAACGTTGGTGTAAACAGCTGGCCAATCTGAAGTTGTTTAAATAATGTTTAAATATCATCAGCGACACCGTGTGGTGTAAATGTTCACTGCAGCCTAAGCAGATGTACTTTTTTAGATTTTTTTTTCTATAGTGCCATCAGTGGTACTGATGCTTTGCAACCCCTCATTTTGGATTATTTTAAGATTTTAAGCAATTTTATCCCTAATCTGTCTGGTGTGATCCTTGGTCTGTGTGATACTTTTAATTCACCAATCTATATTAACTATTATAACAAGCCTTTGAGGCTTTACCAAGCATTTTTATTTATTTATTTTTATTTTATTTTGTTATTTGTAAGAAGAAAAAAAAGTAGAAATGGAGCAACTATACACTACATCATGTGGATCCATTTTATGGGATACCAAAATTGTTTAAAGCAACTTTTCAAAACCAAAAGGCCATTTTTGTCTGCGTCCAGATCGATGAAGGTCAAACAGAGCAACAAATACTTCTTTATGACATTTCCATAAAAGAATATGTTTTTTCAAATATGCGGAACAGCAAATTTGTGACGATTTTAAAGAACTAATATTTTCTGTGCATTGTTTTGAGGAAACATGGAGTTTTTGGATGTTGGTATCTGTGGAGAATCAAAAATTTAAAAAATCGGTTCCTAAGCCAATGAGAAAAAAAAAAAATGTATATATATATAAATTATTGGTTCTTTTAATTTAATTTTGTTGTGGAAATTCAAAACAGATATTTTTCAAGTTTCTGAAACTGCCATTTGTTATTCTACAATCAAAACTATTACTTTGTTATTTATCCTTTTTAGCCATGATTAACAGCCATTGTTGAAGGTCCAAAGAATCACTTGTGGCTCTGGAGCTGCAGGCCTTTAAACTTCTGGTTTAAAGGATATGAATGCTTTTGAAAGGTACAGTAATTCAGGTCTGTTGTATTCAACACATTATCTCTGCTTAGGATAAGTTTCCTCTGAACCCCCAAATAGCTTGGAGCAACATAGTTGGTGTATAACACAGAACCCTTAGGATTTAGTATTAAAATTCAATTGTCTAAAAATAGTACAGGTCTAAAGAGAAAACATCATTACAGATTGGTATGTGCTACAAAAAGTCTTAGAAATATCATGCAGTGTGCATAACAAGTACACCTTTTCACTGCATTAAACATTTTAAGAGTTGCATCACTAATCTTTCTTACAATTTTTAAGAATGTCTTATTTTCTTTAAGATCACCATGCTTTTTATGCAATGCATTTAAAATATGTCAAAAATTAGATAAAAAGTAAAAATCCATAGACCATTTTAAAAATATTTATTGAACATACAATGAACAATGACAAAAGGTCGGACAGATCAAAGATGACCGCATTAAAAATGAGCTCATCAATAGTTTGATGACTTGCTGCATTTGGCTGATATTTCCAAACAGGTTTTAATTATGAAGGCATTAGAAACGTTTTGCTCATGTAAAATGATGAGGTATTCTTAGCTCATTTTAAGGAAAGATTTACAAAAAAGTAGAAACCATTTTCACATATTAGTTATAGTAGAGCACAGTTCTTGTACAGTACATGGTTGGTTATCATAAAAGAAACAAAAACAAATGAAGAAAAAAAAAAAGAAAAATAAAAGAAATAATATTGCAATAGATTTGTTCTCTGGAAACCCCAAATTTACACATTTGAAAAAAAAAAAAATCCATAAACTCCAAGACCAGTTGGGAGCACAGATGTATAACAATGTCAATAAGAGCAGTTTTGCTTATCTACTATAAATCCGCGCAGTCTGTAACCACATTAACAAAATTAAATAACATTAAATTAGCAAGAGGGGATCCATTGTATACAGCAAGGTTTACAAAATTATACACACTTGTTTCCAGCTACTATTATTATTACTTCCCTCTCTAAAACTATCTAATAGATGCTAAAAATATTAAATACAGCTCAGCGGGGCTTTGTACATAAAGGTTTATTTTGGAAATGTTTCAAAACCTGTGATTTATGCTGGATATAAATGCAGAAATATTAAAGCATTTTAAAATATTAGGTTTTCTTTAACTACAGAGTGTGAATGTAATATAATTCAGAAACTATATCACGGTGAATGGGTTAGGTGAGGTTGTAGTGCAGTGGAGTGGAATGGGAAAAATGGGTACAAAACTAATTTATTTTGATAAGCCTGCATGCACTAGAAGCAGTTGAATAATTCAGCGTGTAAGTGGTGTATAACAGCACTATCATTAGCACCTCAGGAAATGTTCTTAGCACCAAGCACCATGAGGGATAAAAGATGGAGGTTTTGTTTTGATTCCTGTACCTGCTCTCCATTCTTCTGTGGCTCAGATCTCCTTTATGAGTAGCCCCCTATCTGTAGCTCTATTTTAATTTTAAATGAAATTGGTGCTGACTTTGTGTTGATTTCATTCGTGAATGAGGAAGCAAGAACGTAAAGCTATACTCCACAGTTAGAGAAGATTTATTAAAACACTACTGAGAACTTGAGCTCCGTTCTTGTCTTTCTCAGTCAATCTATACTCCTCTCAGTCATCAGTGGCATCCATGTAAAACGTAATGATTTGCATCATGTAAATGGCTTTGGCTTGTGGCCACTGTTTTTCTCACAGCAAAAAATAAAATTCATATCTTCTGTTCAGAGTACATAAAAAATACCACCTTTGCATCTGGATAAATTCATCTATGAAAAACCATGAGAATATGAGCACCAAAGGCAAGTAAAATGGCGCCCCTTTCAACATTAAAAAATCCTTCCATATTACAGCTTAAACCAGATTTTTACATACATCATATAAAAAGATACAACCTCTTTCCTCTTCATTGTCTGTGATGTAATCACACTTAATGTTTCCAGCTTTAGGACTTTAAAAACAACCAGACATATCTTAAAACGCCAGAATGAAGATTTTCTTTTTTGTATGTATTTAAATACATTTTCTTATAATTGTAAGATTTACCTTTTAAAATGCAAGACTGTGATAAAACATTTTGAGTATCCTTTGGGTACCCGTTCCATCTTCATTTTGGCCTCTTTTCACCAGACAAAACTACTTAAATTGTGTCACTTTTTTGGGCTGTGTTGCTCACAAACATATTTTTGCATCTGCCTAAAATTCTCTTTGGCATTGACATCATGGCTTTGCAATGGCCTTTCCAAGACATTTTTATTTCCATTTGGTAAACAGGCAAGCTTTAATGTAATGGCTATTGTTTGGTATGATTTTATTTCCTTGAGATAACATCTATATTAAGAGGCGTAACATTGTTCAATTTGAAAATTAAGATATTTGTCCCCCAGTGTATTTTCAAACTTGAATTTCCTTTTTGTGTTTTGACATAATGACCTCTTCCTTGCAGAGCGGCATTTCAGGCCATGTCAGCACAAGACAATTTCAAAGTGGATATTGATACCATCTTCCCTCAGTATCGATACAAGGCCTTTGGCGATCGGAGCGGTACACACATTCATAGCGCAGACCTAGAACCCATTTCTTTCTTATACATTTTGAAAGTGTTTATTATTGCGTGTAATTTGTTTGAATAAAGGAACATGGCAGCTTTAGGATCTGGAAAATGTACTAAAAAATAAACCCGCCTTGTAACATTTTTTTCTTTTGTCATATCTTGTCAGATTTCTAGTGGTTTATTTTAATTTTTTTCTTTGTCCTACCAGAGAGCAGTGTGTTAAGGTGTTACCGTAAAATTGATCCATAGCTGTTTTCCCAATTAAATCAAATACTTTAATTTAACCTACCAGAGGCTGGCAAAAGAAGACATCACAACGTGGGCCTTTCCAAATTTCTTAAAGTCACAGTTATCCTATGGCATATGCAAGCTTCTGAATTTGAACAAGGTAAATAAAATTTCTTCAAAACAAATCTCTCCTTATTCTGGCACTTAGCAAATACAATCGATATTGGTAATCCTAAGTGAGCTTTAACAGGATAAGTTTAGTCTAGTTTAAAGTAAGTCAGAAAAAAGAGGCTATGCACCTTTTTGAGAGTGTATGTAAGCATCTGGTTTGGAGCTCTATTTTGCAAAATATTTTTTAAACTTTTATCTATTGCACTTAAAGATTATTAATTTACAAAAGATATACATGTATAAAATCAATATTAGAGCATATATATATCTATATTTACACAATCCAAATTACTTTAGGTGTTATGAAAAAATCTGAATATTACACAAAGCATACAGACTGTATACAGTTGTGAAAATAAGTTACTTCGAACATCTACTTCTTAACTTGGCCTCCTTTCACTACAAAATGTCCTGGAGACATTGCAAGGTCTTTTTTTGTTTTAGCAGGCGTCCATCTGAGGATCCTGCTAAACAAGCTTAAGGAAGCTTTTGCTGTTCTGAGAAGCCCATTAGTACAGGGTCCCCTCTGCTCCTGTAATTCCGCCACCTTGGTTTCTCTGCTTACTCCCCTTTTTCTGTTGCAGTCCAACGGGAGTTCAGCTGTGAAGCAGTATCTGTTATTGGCGCGGGGAGGCAGTGAGTTTTTCTCACATGGACGGTTTTAGGCCACAATAACATGACCATTCTGGTCTCCTTGTCTGCAGAAAGGGGGTTTGCATGGGAGGTTGTCCATTCCTCTGTGAGCTAAGAGGACCTACATTGTGGCCCTCAGAGAAAACAAACCGGACCTATCTCCAGGTGGTAATGTGAAGATGGGCTTGTTTTTGGAAGGTTATAGATGTCAACCACGGGAAGCAGGGTAGGATCCAGGGAATGGAAAACAAAATGAGTCTGGTGCCAGCGCCCATCTTTTATCTGAAAAACAACATTACAAACAAAATTCCAATTTAGTCAGCAAATATGAGGATAGCATGATATCTTGAGGACTAAATTACTTTACATCAAGTAATAACATCCTACCCAGCAGGAATCTTCCAAAACGTCTGGCTCCAGCTCTCCTCCAACATCAAACACCTCCCCGGTCCATGCCTTGAATCTCACAGACCGATGGTCAGGCAACTGATCCTCTGCTTGCCTCCAAACTGAGATATTTAAACAGTGGATGGTGATGTGCTGAATAGCCTCTGAGCTCAGGAGGTGCAGAAAGTTCATTTGGACGCGACCAACCTCGATTGTTGGCTGTAGAAGATAAGGGGATTATGTTAATGCTGCCCATGTGTTTAAAAATCATTAAATCTGCAGCTATGTCTTGTGTACCTTTGATACTGTTATTGGTTTAAGGCAAGTTTGTCCACCACCAGTAAAGTTGCAGGAGACTTCTATTGTATCAGACGAGCAACCAAGGTTGGGGTCAATCCAATAAACACCTGATAAACAAAAAATAAACAACACAAATTTGCTTTCAAGATGATCTAAAAAATAAAATATATTACTCCAGCTAGCATAACAAATGTCCCCTGCTCACCATCATTCAATCTCTGTTCACAACTATGAAGGTCCCTGCAAATGCGGGCGGGGTTGTCTCGAGTGCCCAATGGGTTCTTCAGGCTCTGGATCAAGTTACTGAGGTAGTGGAGGGTCTTGAAGATCTCTGTACCCTGGTCGAGCATTGGCAGGTCCATTGCTGGTTTATGATGGAGGACAGACTAATAGCCAGAAGGGTTTTTAGTTGGAGATGGGCCAAAAAAAAAAAAAAAATCAGCTGTTGACTAAAACTTGACAATAAACTTGCCTAAAACTCATAATAATGAGCCGTAATTAGTGTAAAAAATATTTTTATTTCACTGCATAAAAGCATCATACTAATAATATGAAATGAGCAAAAGAGAGCAACACTGTTTACAAGTAACAGGAAGGCTGACCATAGTGAGGGAAAGATGTTTTGTTTGAGTTTTCAACATTTTGTCATGGAGCAGGCTGGACTTAGAAATGTTGAAATCTTAAGAGGAAACAATCTACATTTCTTAAATATAAATAAAGGGAGTGCCCTTTTTCTTATGCTAGCCCTACTAACTGCTAACATAAGATGCAAAAAAATTTAATGGGTCTTTATAGCAATTTTGTCAGTGTTTCAAATACGTCAAAATTAGTCGCGCAATGACTCTATTAAAGTACATCCAAAGATGGGATGATAATAGTTCATAGTTATGGTCTTTTTTTTCTTCAAATGAATCTGTCATTTTTGCATCTCTACTGTCAATTCATTGCAATGGTCGATGCCATTTTTATTTTGATGTAGTTTTAGATAGTTGGCCAATTGAATACTATTAACGTGAAAACACAAATAAGACAAGAGCTTGTTGAAAATGTATATGTATACGGCAAAAAGATCATCTTTACAATCTCTTAAAATAAAAATGATAACTTCTCAAATCAAGAGGTAAATTCAACAGGACAGAAACTGGAAGTTAGAAATCAGCCACTAAAATAAAACAGGAGGAATGAATTTTATAAATCAATGACGGCAGTCTGCTGGGTTTCTTCAGACAGAAAACCAACCTGTCTGTATGATTAGATTGGTTCTGTAAACTACCTTGATGTTTAAATGACCACTATAAAAATAAACTGATCTGATTGTGCACTGCTTAACACATCAATTAAAAACTTTTACCAACCTTAGTCCTGTCAGGAGTAGGTGTATCAACAAACAAATGCCCATCATCTATCTGTAGAGCAAAAATCATATGTTTATACTTTTCATCAGTTTGATTGTCACCTTTTGGAAGTAATCTTTTTAGTAATCAGACTTAAAAATTTTGAACCAAAGCAAATAAATGTATATTAGCATGACTTACAAATGAAGGAAGGATTGCAGGGGGGCCCTGAGGAGAGGAAACATGTTAGTTAAATATTGAGTCTTCATCAGCAGCAGACAAATTTGGAAATATTGTTAAAAATGGAAACCTACTGGAGGTCCAGGACGTCCACGAGGTCCAGGAGATCCCTAATAGAACAAATAAAAAAAAGAATATTCACTGCTTGCTGTTTAAACTACCTTAATTTCAGAAAAGTATCTCTGAAACCCACATCATTTTTAACAATTGGAAGAAGCAAAATGAAAGTAGAAAACATACCCTAGGACCTTGAAATCCCTGTGGTGAAAGAATATAGACATATATTTAGCCTGGGAAATATCTGCAGTTTAATTTTTATACATTGCATAATGGGAAGACTATTTTAAATACACCACAGACAAGTTTAAAAACACGTACATTCTCTCCACGATTGCCTTTTTGTCCTCTAGGACCCTGTTAGAATACAATCATACACTGATTAATGTTGTAAAAAAGAACGTTTAAAGAAGTAGAAGGTGTAATACATACTGCGCTTCCACTGGGACCAATAATTCCAACAGGGCCCACAACTCCTCTTCTTCCCTTAATAAGAGAAATAGAAGATAATAAAATAAAATGGAAAAATGGAAAGCTTCAGAAAGCTGTCTGGATTATTAAGGAATGTACCATTGCACCCTGTGGCCCCTTAGGTCCCCGTATGCCCTTTGGCCCAAAGTCTCCTGGAGGCCCCTGAAAATGGAAGCACACTTCTATAAATTGACAGCACTAAAAACATCTTTATACAATTTATAAATAGAAGCTGGTGTCAACCTTGTGTATTTGAGATAAACTTAAAAGAGTAACACAGAACTGAAGCATATATATATATTTTTTTTCATATCAAATTCATACTTTTCGAACAAGGATTTATATTTTTTTTACACTGAGAAAGAGCAGAAGATTTTTTTTATGAACTCACCCTTGGTCCAAAAACTCCAAGAATTCCTGGAAAACCTTGTTCCCCCGTATCTCCCTAAGCAGAAAGTAATTAAAATTGAGAAAAGCATTTCCTCTAAAGGAATATTAACTAATTCATTTATCAGGAGAAAATATAACTCAAGCCTTTAGTGTTTATACAATAATGGGTATGTCTGATTAACACGTACAGGTTGGCCTTTAGGTCCTCTGTCTCCCTGTGCCCCCGGTAGTCCCATTCCACCTTTAAAACCTCTTTTTCCTGATGGTCCACTTTGACCTCGAAGACCTTGCTCACCCTAAGTAGACAAGTCAATAGGTAGATTATCATTGAAGAAATATGCCAATATGAAGATAACCAGACTTTCCATTTATTTTTTCATTTTCCTCTTACCTTGGGTCCTATGCCTCCCTGATCTCCAGGTAGTCCTGGAACGCCGGTTTTACCACGTCCTCCAGGCTTACCAGGAAGGCCTTCTGCTCCATCATCACCTTGGTCTCCCTATTCACATTAAAGAGAGGTAATGAGGGTTTAAAGTGACTGCATCTAAATATCCAACAGGGTGTTAATCCCAATGAACCCCTGCAGAAATATGGATATTATGTTTAAGAATTCCCAGCTGTACATTATAGAATGAGAATGTGACAGGAAGAAAGAAACAAAACTTGAATTCATTCAAAAGTCCCTGCCTTAAGGTAAATCAAAAAGAATCATTGTTTTGAGGACTATTGTTGCTAGAAAAACAGTCTGCTAAATATTCAAATGATTAAAGTTCATGAAAAATATTGAAATACTTTTGTCTGCTAAATACTCCAGAGTGTAAACAGGTAAAACATATGAATAGGCTTAAAAAGAAGTCTCACCGGAATGCCTTTACTTCCATCTTTTCCTGGGACTCCATCCTGTCCAGGAACTCCCTCACGCCCTTCTGGACCCACTACCCCTCTGGGACCAGGAGGACCACCCCCACCCTGAGGAGAAAGAAGATGGTGAAATTAAATGCTTCACACAGAAACAGTGCCTGACAAATTCATTTGAATACTATATATGTATATATATATATATATATATATATATATATATATATATATATATATATATATATATATATATATATATACATGTCATGATCTTGGCGCTGATGGTTCGGTTTTATCCTTTGCTCCTTGCTCCCCTGTCTAATTGGTTCGGCGGCTGATTAAAGCTCATCATTTCCACCTGGTTTATGTTGTGTGCTTGCCTTCCATCAGCGCCAGGTTATTCGAGTAGTTTGGTGAGATTAACTCTAGCTTTCTGAAGTCTGTTCTATTTTCCTGACCTGTTTCTGATCCGGAGTTTTGCCTTGCCCCTGTCTGCACCGTTTGTCTGATCTGTTCTGGACTGATTCCTGGATTCTACTGGCTTCGGAACCTGGATCTGTCTTCTGACTCCGGCTTTGAATATCCCCCTCAAGGACACTGTTGCTGCCCGGCGTCGGCTGGCGCCTGCTCCGCTCTTTCTAGGAACTCTGGGGGCGGCACCCGCCGCAACCTGGGGATTAACCTCCTTTTTGGATTCAACTCTTTCCTCCTAGAACGGACTGAACTTTGAATCAGGTCAGTGACTTTGCTCCTAGTAGTGATCAGCCCGACTATCCAGTCACTGACCTGCCCCGCAGCAGACAAGCAGCCCCGCACTCCTGTTTGTTTTAAACAAACGTTTTGAACTTTCCCACTGCCTGTCTCGCCTCGAATTCTGGGTCCAACATTTAGAGATCATTACATACATATACATATATATACAGTATATAGTATATATTCTTCTGGGTGAAGAATAATATATATTTTTTCACATATTTTTTAACATTGCTTGCACAATTACACACAACTTAATGTTTGAATGTCATATAAAATCTAAATTCACTCAAGGTGTAACACCATGAAAAGTTAAGGAGATGGCAATATTTTTTCACTTTATATATTTCTTGTATGGAGATAAAAAAAGAGATATCATATGTCTACATTACCCATCTGGTAAATGTTTTAAATAAGAATGATTTTCTTTAAATAAATAAAAATGTTAAATAGGATCACACACATCAAAACATTTAGGGATTTTCTTTTTTCTCTTTTTAGAATTAAGTCTAATCTCAGCAACAAGAATGAGTCGCCTTCTCTTGCAGTATTTAACAAAGTCAAAATGACAGCTCCACCATAGCATACTTTGGAGCAACAGTCAGTTGGTCCTTTTAACAACAAAATCTAAATCAAAGGAAATAATGTCCTAAATAAAGATGACGTTTTACTTGTTGTACATACATTTTTTTCCCACAATTTATTTGTTTTGTTTCAAAAACTTCACATTAGTGAAAATCCCAACCCTGACAAAAGAAAAAGTGCATAAAGCACGTGTGCTGCCAGGCCAGATTTGTATCACCATTGAAGCAAAGTAGAATATTAGGAAATATCTCATTATATTGATAACATACCTCAGCTCCTCTGGCTCCTTTTTGTCCAGGCTGTCCTTTTTTGCCTTTTTGACCCTGAATGAAAAGAAAAAAAAAAAAGTAACGTGAAATACCGTAGGTAAATACATTTAATTATAAATCATGTTCCAATAACAATAATTTTCTGTGGATCTAAGAATGATTATCCTTTTTGTTATTTCTATTTTTCTAAATTCCATTATCTCTCCATTTTAATAAACCTGTAAAATTTTGTTGTGATGCTAGTGCATGAAGAATGTTTTAAATGGTGCTATTATTTGGTGTCTGAGAGTGTAGAACTTAACAAGTTCATTACATATACCTGATAAATCTCTAGCAGTGAAAAAAGTTCTCTGGTCTGTCACTTTAAAAAAAAAACTACTGTAACAGCAAATGCAAAAAAAGTCCTGCTTTACAAAAGTATGAAAAACATATGTACATAAGTAAACATAATTAAATCAGACTTTAAAGCAATAACCTGATAAGTGTGCATCATCTTTTGACACTAAACTACAATACTGATGTTTCAAAGTTCAAGTTGTTTTTGCTATATTTTTTTAACCTTGACTATGGGGCACTGAAATCAAAAGACTCAGATACAGAAAGTAGAAATTTACCCCGAAAATAAACATCTCTAATCCTTCATTTTAAATGCTTAACTCTGCAAATATGCTTACAGATATTTAATATTTTTACTACATCCTTACTTGATCTCCTTTGGAACCTTTAGGTCCTTTTTGTCCACGCGATCCAGCATGGCCCTAAAATTGACATTTTTATTTTTCGTAAATTAAAGCATATCATAGAAACCTGCATCAACGGCTGTGATGTTTTCTATGTTTATATTCAGCTGTGCATAAAAACCAAATGTTGTGTCACTCACTGGTTGTCCAGTGGCTCCAGGTCTACCTCTTTCTCCATCCAAACCAATTTGACCCTAGATGCATTGAAAGAAAGTTAAAACCCTTCATCGACACATATAAGAAAGTGTTTTCAAAATAATCTATTGTACCTACTTGGTAACCTGGGTCTCCTGATTCACCCCTCTCTCCTCTGTCACCTGGGGGCCCCTGAAAAAGGAAATACATAAATGAAATGCAGGATTTCTGATTTGCTTTAGTTTTGAATTGAAATAAACAGACGCATGAGTTAAATGGGACTTACTATGAGACCAGGAGGACCAGGAGGACCTTCTTGCTTCCCATCATCCCCCTGCTCACCCTGAACAAAGACAAATTCAATGTTGTAAATTTACACAAACTGGAATGCCTTGTAGGCCATTCCATTTATAGTGGGACATTTGCAGCTAATGCTAAGATCAGACTGAGAAAGAGAGCACGAAAAAAAAAGAGATTTACTTTGCAAATAAATTGAATGAGGTGTACCTTTTCACCTTTTGGTCCTGGACGGCCCATGGGTCCCTGTGGTCCACGATGGCCCTGTGAGAAAGGGACAACAAAAGCAGTGACATAGTTCAGTTCCTAACAAAATGTGCCATAATCTCCATCCAAACAATCAAAGTATATTTGCTTTCAGTCTCATTGAACTAATTCTTTGTAGAACCACTTTTTACTGAAATTGGATCAACAAAACAAGACACCATATCTCTATAGCTTAGGATCATTGTACTGCTGGATGATAAACCTCCATCCAAGGATTTTGCAGTCTATCACACATTTTCCCCCTGTATTTAGTGACAATCATCCATTTATCATTTCTATAATTTCTTCCCTCCTAAATGCTGACACTATTTCATTTAAACCATTGGAATTCCATTTTGGAATTTTAATTTTGATTAATTGATTGACTTTATTGATCTCACAGTTGAGGTGCATGGGATATATACAGTGCAACAGCTTTAAAAAAAAAAAATAGGATCATTATACAGGGGTTATTGCACAGGGCGTTTACATGGGTATCTATATAGATGGATATTCATAGTGATATATATAGTTATTACACTGGGAATCAGATATAGAGAAACAGGTTACTGCACAGGGTACCAAATAGTAATTGCACATTATATATTGCACAAGTTATTGCCATTTCTAAAGGTTCCATTTTGGTTTCAAGGAAACAGGAACATTTTACATGTCTTGTTTGCTTGTCTTTAACAGGACTTATGATGGTCTTTTTTTAGGTTTTTATGGCACTAGTGGCTCTTTTTTTAATGCAGTGGGATTACAGGAAACGGGGGATGAGAGAGGGTTGGAAACATACAGCAATGTTGGCCACGTCGAGGACTAAGTCCTCCATACATGGATCTTGCGCTAACTACTGTGCCACTGATGGTCTTAGTATTTTTTTGGATTTCTTCTTGCAACTTTTTTTTTTTTTTATTCTAATATATGCTTCACTAGCAAACGTTTAACAACTTTCAAAACAACTTGAGCTCAGAGTTATCTAAACATTTTATTTGCGAAAAGTTGTAAAAATAATAAATTAGTTTCCCTCTACGTCACAATTCCTTTCTACTTTTTGTTTGTTGATCACATAAAATGCCATTAAATTGCATTGAGGTTTAAGGTTGCCTTGTGACAAAATGTTAAAAAGTTCAATTGTTTACCTTACCTCATAACCTGGAAGACCGGTTTCCCCTTGTTGACCCATCCGACCAGGAGCTCCCTGAAGGTAAGCAATGTACAGTCAAGCCCACCATCCACTGAATGGTATCATCTTGTTTGTTCAGTTCACATAATGTTGCTTTGAGAGTGTCTTCATCATTACTGTTCTACTTTACCGTATGTCCAATAGTTCCCCTGGAACCCTTTGGCCCAACAAATCCTGGCGGTCCAGTCTCTCCTACTGTTCCCGTTTCTCCAAGGTGACCCAGCTGACCCTTAGCACCCTACATATTCAAAGCATGAAAATTAACATAAAGCTTATGATTTGTCTTCCTGTTAGTGTAAGGTTTTAGGGTTCTAATTAGTATTTTGCTAGAGATGAGTTCATGTTGTTACCTTTGGGCCTGGTTTGCCTCGTTCACCAATTTTACCAGGCTTCCCTTCTGCACCCTTAAACAAAATTAAGATAACAAAATGTATGTATAAATATCTAATTAATGTATATAAACCTAATCTGTAGTAAGTTTATGAAAAATATTCTTATGCCTGGACGTAAAGCAGAAAGACCGGTCACTTACCCTGACGCCAGTGAGTCCAGGCATACCAGATGGACCTTCTTTTCCCTTTAGTCCAGTTTCACCCTTTTCGCCTTTGTCACCCTCCTGACCCATGTCACCCTTTTCACCCTGTATGAACACGAAAACCTCTTAGGATTCTGTGTATCAAAGCTGATTTTTAACTGACTTGTTAAATGAGTTAGTTATGCAACAATGAATGTAGAATGTAATGCTGTTCACCTTGGCTCCATCAGGACCAGCTGGACCAGCTTCACCCTCTAGTCCTGGCGCTCCCTACACATATACAAAGCTACAGAATGAACCGATTCTCCCCCTTTTTAATAATATTTAAAATAATTCAGACAAACTCACTCTCTGTCCTATCAATCCTTGTTCTCCAATGTTCCCTGGTGGTCCAATGCCCCCCTGCATTTCCAAGACAGAGTTTTAGTTAAAAAACAAAAACAAAATAACCCTTAATGAAGCATTTACAATAAACTCCAATGGTTTTGTTTGCTCACCTTCGGCCCAGATTCACCTGGAACTCCTGGTTCACCCTCTTTGCCATCAGGACCCTTGGAGAATAAAATGAAATAATAAATAAATATATATTTAATTTCATTTAAATGGCAGACTAGTTCCATATTATGTTAACATTATATAAATGCTTAGTCCCATTATTCACTACGATGAAAGAAGCATATCTGTAGCAGTTGATTAGTTCAGAAGGAGAAATTGTATATTATAATTATAACAGTATTATGAAATCACAGCATCATTGGAGGAAGCTAAGAATTATTTTCCCAACATTTTATCTGTAGCTAAATATTCACTGATAGTTTAAAAAAAAGGTGCAGTTTGGAAAATAACTAAGCTTGGAACTAATAGCTCAGGAAGCTTTCATGGGGAAGTGTGTCTGTGTGTGTGTGTATCTCTGAATGCGAAGGTGTAAGAAGGAGCTGTGATTCAGAGTGTTTTCTAGCTGCGTGGGACACACTTCAGAGGTACGAGGCCTTAATATTGGTTTGTTGCATTGCATTTGCCCATTCGTATCTTTAATCACAAATATAAAATCTAAAGGAAAAGTAGCTTGCCACAAGTATGTCTTTTGAAAACAATAATGATAATCTAAGTAACAAACTGCAGTAAATCTGATTGAGTTCTTTTCCCTAAGGGAAAGGATATATCCCTGTTTTTTAAATATATATTTTTATTATACACCCACAAACATAGCATGTGAGGACCTGCAAAATGACCTCACTTTGCAACAACTTGTCCTCAATTTGATGGTGAAATTGGAAAAATTGACTTCACTCTCAGAATGAGTCTTAGTTGTTTTTGTATTATAATATTAAGAAATAAAGAACTTCTCTTAGTATATCACTATCTTATTGCCGCTGTCCACACATCGGGGGTGCTGAAACCACAAAGTCTGCAATGGTTACAACACTGGTGTCATTTCAACTTGTCACCAAGGTGGGAAAACATATGCAAGAACTCTGGAACTTACACTATGAAAATAAAATAAAAAGACAAAAAAAAAAAATTATACCTTCATTAAAAAAAAAAAAAAAAAAAATTGGGCATTTAGAGTGCGTAGAAAGACACACGGACTGACATTCATTGGTTAGAACAGCTAAAACAATCCAGATGATTTATTTTCCAAATCTTGTCTTATTGGTAATATGTCCTCAAAATTATAATTTAAATAGCATAGTCTATACCAGTTTGTCTTACCAACATGCCCATTAACTGCCCATACAAACTTTTGTTTGCACAAGCCATGGGTCATCTTATTCTTATTAGGGATCTTAGCTCTTAAATTGGGTCTTATTTTCACAGTTTTGCACTATGTGTTGGTCTTCTAAATTAAATCTCAATGAAAAATAGTTTCAAGTATTAGTTTTTCATGGTATTGCATGTTAGCTTACCTTGGGACCAATTTCTCCTAAAAGTCCCACAGTTCCAGGTGGTCCAGGTGGTCCCTGCAAAGGAGATTGAGGTTGCATAAAACTTACTTATTTTAAGAAAACAAATATATTTTGACATGTACAAGAAACAATAACACAACAGAGAAACAACCAGAAAATATATGGATCGAGCCTGTTAATGATCTAACCGACACAATATGCAGGTTATTTACACTTCTTGATCCTAAAAATGCAGTATCTCACCAGATAATTTAAAGCAGTCCCAAAATGAAGACTGCCTAAATCTACCACTTTTGTCATTGTTTAAAGAGAGCAAAAACCAGGTATCAGCAATACCTCAGAAATGTTTAGTCTACCACTGAATTCAGTTACACAAAAAGGCTGTATCAACTCTACAAAATAAGGAAGGAAGGAAGGAAGGAAGGAAGGAAGGAAGGAAGGAAGGAAGGAAGGAAGGAAGGATAGAAAGGGAAGGCAAGGACTGAAAGAAGNAAGGAAGGAAGGAAGGAAGGAAGGAAGGAAGGAAGGAAGGTTGTCTTCCTGTTTAAATTCTCACAGGAAATCTAGATTAGCTAGATAATCTTCAAATATCAGAGGAAACATGCAAAGCATTTGTCAGCAATTATAGGAATAAATTCATGAATTTAGTTAAGGTTTACAAAAAGATAGGACGACATTTAAATGAACTAGATTGTTATCACAAAGAGAGGGTGGCAACAGAGCAAGCAGAAATAAAAGAGATTAGAAATCATTGTTTTGAATTTGGAGGTAAGCATATCAATAAAAGGGGGTAATAAAGTATTTAAAAGTCTTAACATACTGGGTCCCCAGCTATCCCCTTGTCCCCCGGAGGTCCAGAAGGCCCTTGGATACCCTGAGAACAACATAAGACAGTGAGTTTAGGAATACATCAGTGCCTCATCTAATAATCACCTGTCCAGTAGTTAACAAAAAATATTTTTTCTCTTTTAATAGACGATGATATATTATGATTCAGATTAGTAACTTTCTTCCTCTGTACTTTCAAAATAGACTATGAGAGTCAATTAGTGTTAAAAATGACATCCTTCTCAGGTACCTTTTCCTCCGTTGTCTCTCATAGTTCCCTTTTACAAATGATTTGAACAATAAATCCATAATTCCTCCACAGCAAATGTCTAACAAAGTCTTGCAGCTCTATGGTATTCCAGTTTAAATATGCATTAAGTGATTAAAGGTTTACAAAAGTTGTTTGAATCATTAATTAATTGAGCATCTATTGTTCTGTCACTGATCTATATTTTTAAATTCTTTAAAGAAGCATGCCAAACTTACAGGAAAACCTTTAGGCCCAGTGTCTCCCGGCTCTCCGATCTTTCCCTGGAACAACACAATAAAAGATAGGATTAAAAAAGTCGGAAATCAAACTTGTCTGAAAAAATGATTTCTTCAATGTTACTTAAACACAGTAATAAGGAACGAGGAAATTAAAGTGACTCATCGATCATGTTTCATATAGATATTAAGAGTGTTACTAAAAGTTACTAAAAATACAGAGCCTTGAAAAGGTTTTGATGCTGATTCAGCTTTTTCCTATATTATATTTATTACATTGCATTTATGCAAGAGCCGTAGCAAAACAGCATAATTCTGAAGTGAGAAGAAAAAGATTAATGGGGGTTTCTTTGTTCTTTCTTTGTTTTTTAATTATAAACAATAAAAAAAACATGGTCAATCTTAGTTTTGGCTTCGAGTCATGGAAGCTGATTTAATCACCTAATCTGGAATAAAAGAATTTATGGAAAGTAATTAGAATCAAGCATTCATGTAGGATTTGCCATTTTTGGGATACAAGTATCTTTGAGACACACTGTGAGCTTTTACAAATCCTGTGATTGAAAAAGAAATTATATATATCTATATACATCAGTATATAGATATATATATGGTCTCTGATAACATATTTAAACCTGATCATAAACTTTAATATGTTATATAATCTAAAATATCACTCTTTAATTAGATGACCACAGTCAAAACATGATCATTTCTGCTTAGCTTAATATCAGAATCAGATGACTGCTGGTACAACACATGTGCTCTAAAAGAGCAAAAAACTGCATCTGATGAAGAAAAAATAAAAGGGAAAATGTTCGAAAGCTTTACCTGTGATCCTGGGAAGCCTAGTTTTCCTGGAGGCCCAACGGGACCCTTTAGTTAAAAGAAAGGTGCAGAAAATCAGAGGTAAATTGACAGTATTTAAAAAAGGGAACATGTGTACAGGTTGGCTTCAGTATCTTTAGATTGTTTTTCATAATGTCTGTCATGTAGAATATGTATGAAAATATAATTTGTTATCTGGAGTTCTAGAGTGTAATTTGAGTAAATGCCACCATCCTTACCTTCTTGCCCTCTGACCCCACCTCTCCTGTTGGACCATCAGGCCCCCTCGCTCCCTGAGTAAACAAGACATGTGTCACTTCACCAATAGAGGTCACTGTAACACTACCAGACAAACACACAAAACATGTCCTCATGTCAGAGGGACTGTGTGGGTTGCAATGCCACTTATTTGGAAAAGTATGAAAGAAAGAACACATTTTTGTTAGGATTATTTTATTATTCATTTAATTATTGAATTTTATTTCATAAAACAGAGCTTTCAATAACAACTCCAAATTATAATCTGGGGATGTAGTCAAGGACTTTATGTATAGAGTAATGACCCTTCTGGCAATTTCATTTCACACCTAAATAAACACAAGATCAGCACAGTATAACTGTTTAGACTACATGTGCAGAACCTTCAAACATAATTAATCTAAACTGCTTTAACTTTTTCTATCAGGAACCAATAAAAATAAATGAGAGTCAGGCAGTGTACCAATACACTCCAGCTGTTTTGCACCTGCATCCAGTAAAATCTCTAAGCTTTATTCTGGAAGATGCTACTTTACTGATAATCAAGAAATGATAACACATTAACAGTAAATATATCATACATCTACATCAGCTTAATAATGTTATTGCATGTATATATGAGTTTTTTTTGCCTGGAATTTTCTCATCAACATCACCTTGAAGAAGCCCTTTTTGTTTGACTGATTGATGACCATGCACAGTGGGAGTTTAACCCAGAGGAAATAACAATAGCTGTAGTGCTATAAGCCTATTATCCATAGAGCTGAATGGGAACTGCTCATTAACATTCCTGTCTGGGGTACCTGCTACCCGCTGCTTGAGTTTACATTGGCTGATTAGCCGATGAGTAGTGGAAATATTTCCTCCACTGCTTCGAGCCAAATGAAAAAAAAATGGAAAGAAATAAAACAAGAGAGGCAGGCAAATGAAAACCAGCAGGATGAATGTGACAAGTTCAATCCAAACCAGCTCAGACACAACTACAAAATGCTGAGTAGTTGGGATGTGCTCTGCAGCATGGTACATATTAAACAAGGATTTGTTGGTTTGAGCAATCATTAGTCCCAGGTATGTTGAGATGCAAGTATTAGATCCAGCGCATTTTATGGGACATGACATTCTTCATTTACGACATCCACAAGCCTGATTTCATAGTTTGGTTAGTTTGTAAGCACTAAAATATCATACACTCCTGGAATTTTCTCCACAATGTCATAGTTTATTTTGAACTTTACAAACACAAAGAGGCAAATAAATGGTAACTTACAGGTAAAATAAATATCATCTTTTTAGCATGACCGCTTAGGTGTGACATCCATCTATAGGTTATTGGCAATAGGCCTCTAATTGCTTTGAAATCTATACTCTTTCTATGAAGCTGAATGACATTGAGTCAGACTGGTCTGAGGATTTAGCCAAGAAGAGTTAGCCTTGACTTCCTATGAGCTTTTCTAACACATGCTGGGAGCTAAACCTTAGCCCAGCTCTTTTAGCGATTTTTCTTCTAGGATTGCTGTTTTTTTTTTCATCCGACTTCTCATATACATTAATCATATACATTAATGTCACTGTCCCAACGGGACAGTGGTGGATTTTGTCCAGGATTGGTCTACCTCTTTCCTATCAACCAGCTTACCCTTCCATGCCGAAGAAAACATCCACTCAGAATGATGATGTCACCGCCATACAGATGGTTTGGACAGGAATGCAGTGACAAGGCTATGCATTCAAGCAAAAAGCTTTCGACCTGACCTGAGTTAACTTCTTACTCACATTTGCTGGGTTACCTACACGGATTATGGCAAACTGTTAACGGGATAAATCAAATTTTTTTTTTGTTTGTTTTCAACAAAGATGTCTTTGATTTTTTTCTATAAAGGGACGACATGTTGAGTGCATGTCTCTCAGTCATTCCCTCAGTAGATTTTCAAGCCTGAGAAGTGGATTTCTGCAGAATTTCATCAGATATTCTGGCTACCTCTCTGATTTATACACAGTTAGGTGGATGACCATGTATTTTTGCTTTGTATTGGAGTCACACTCTTTCACTTTTTAGCTGATAAACTAGCCGATAGTCAGATGCCCCTTTTCATTATGTTATTTGTTAAACCAGTCCTGCAATAAACACTTTAATTTTTTTGTCCCTGGTCTTGTCTTTTTTGCTCAACAAGTTTAGGATCTGAGAAGAAGCAGATGTTTACTCTAAATCCAGGTTAACACAGAAAATACATGGTGTTCATATAGAGGAATTTTAAACTGGATCCAGCCTCACAAATTCGCCTTTCAGCTTTATTTCTGCAAGTTGCTGCATTTGTTGCTCAGAAGGACTATTGTGTTTTAGGGTCAATTTGGGTAACCGATTAATCTTGGACAAGTCAGGCAGGGTAACCTATGGATATCCACATTGACAAAAGGGAAAGACTGAAGAGTGCGCCCAGGTCAACCACACTAAGGCCAGTCTCCCATTCTGATTAAATAAAAAGAAACTATTTTCTCCTTTATACCTGGGATCACTAAACAAAGACAAAACAAAAACCAAACCTCACCACACAGAACTAATATTCTTAAATAACAGAAGGGTAAAAGGATAACATTTAGTCTGATTTAAGCTTCTTTACCTTAAAATTAGGGAACAAACATTACTAAATTAAAGTTGTAAGTCCCTTTTTGGGGTAGGTATGTTTGAGTTTGGGTTTAAATCCTGATGGTGTCAGGAAAGGGGATTATTTGCCCTGCAAAATTACAAGCTGTAGTGTCTGACTGGCTGTCTGAATCGTATTGACTCAGGGAAGATGAATATTATATCATGCCAAAGTTTCAATTTTTTTTCTTTCTCATAAAAACATAAAAGCAGGTTTCCTTTTCCAGTGAATTCACAATGCTGTGTTACTTTTTCATTTACCTCATAACTGGCAGTAAAATGCCTTCATAGCTTGGTTTTAATATGATAAAATGAGTCCTTGGCAGCTCTTCATCACTTCCCTATGTTCTTCTAGTAGCAGTCCACAGCAGTATATTGTTTCTATATACAAACATCCCAGCATTCACACACACTTGCTTTGCCAAACTGTATGAGGAAGTTTTCAGAGACAACAACCTTCTAACTTACCCGCAAGCCTTTGGGACCTCTTGTACCGGCTGGCCCACTTGCTCCAGGAGGGCCCTAATGAAGAGAGAAAAAGAGGGGAATAAATAGGGAAAGAGAGGGGGTGGGAAAAAGAAGGATGGAAAGATAAAACAAAGGTTTACACTGAAGGACCAGAGGGCCCCCTAGCCATTGACCCCAGGGAGAGAGCAGCGTGACCTCAGGAACACAGTATAGGGTTTGTTGCTAGATCTGTCACTCACACCAATTAAAGAGCTTGCTCAGGAATCCCATCCTGCTGCCCCCATAGCTCCATGTTTATGTTTGTTTTGGTGGCTCAGTGGCCCCCACTTTGAACCAGTGCAGGGCCTGTTCTAAACCAAGTATGGCTATAGTAAAGACACACCAAGAGGACAAGGGGGGCCGGTAGCAGCTTGTAATTGGTATTAGGTGTTGGGTTTTTGACTGACAGGAGGATAATGCACATTCAGCAGGAGGCTGTCACAGTTCATAATCCTCAGGAAACCACTGCAGCATACTGGGAATACTAGTCCTACAGAGCAAGATTGTCTACAGTTGCTAAACTTACAGTTGTAGTAAAAAGAGCATTCATTTTAACCAAAAAAAAATTGGGAAAAATAAGGAGTGATAACTTACTGTTCTTCCTGGTGGTCCAGCAGGTCCGGTTTCACCTGGAGTGCCTGGGTGACCCTATTGTTTTGCACAAATGACAAAAAAAAAATAAAAAATATGACTCTAAATTACACAAAAAATATATTTATGGAGGTTTAATGGGTTATTAATAAAATTAATATCAACTATTGGTTGAACAGCACAGAAGTTAATCTGGAGTAAATTATCTAATTTGCAATTAATTAAGGAATTGTCTTTATTAATTCAGTCCAAAACCTAGACTGAGCATAGTTTGGCAAAGGGAAGCATTCAATTTTTCCTTCTGCAGAAACATTGTCATCATTTGAAAATATGTTCAGTGCATGGTTTTAAGAAAATAAGAAAGGAGAGGGCAGAGGACAGCTAGAGGAGCTGATTTTATATAGGAAAACATATCACTTCTGGCTTATTTCCTTTCTCGTTCCTTTTTTTCAATTGGACTTGATTTGCTGGCCAGGCCGTTAGTAAAGCCTAACGGAATAATGGGGAATGTTTTGGTCAGAATCCCCAGAACATCTGAGAACAATAAAGTCCATTCAGACTGCTGGCCTTACAGCATAGTAAGCACCTCTGACGTCATGAGCCCACAGAAATAAAACATTGATGCTTACAGTAAGAGCTTTCTGTTAGCAGCTTCTCTCACTTTCAGTGATGCCTTCTTTTCCAAGAGGTCTGTTTCTGTTTTAGAGCTGAGGGAGCGAGCCAACAAAGATCTTCCTTTTAAGTGAGAATGTGTATGAGTGGTAATGTCCTCAAGGGAGTCGAGCTGGCAGTAGGCCAACAGCACTGATGACTAAATCTTTCTCCTCTCCAAACAGCCATGTAGACTGAATGGTTCATTAAAAAAAAAGATGCAAAAACAACAAAGTGCATATTTGCCATATTTAAAAGTTGATGGTATGTTTATTGTCTGAGCAACTTGGAGCTTTTTCAAAGGAAACATCTAATCTATGCCCCTCATTTGTTTTCTAGATTGAACAAACAGTCCAATAAACAAAGTGAAGGGAAGTGTTTAAAAAAACTAAAATAAACAAACCTATAATATATTAGCATTTTTAGCCTACATGCAAAAGGATGACTAAGTACTTCCTGCGGTAATACATTCCCAAACAGCAAGTAAATCATTGTGAGGGTTCCATTGGGATGACTTCTTCCTTTGTTTGAACAAGTTTCACACCTTTTTTATTCCGACTTGTTTTGCCATTTGGTGAACACAAGATGTAACAGTGATAAGACAGTATGAATGAAGATCTCTCTGCAAATACCATTAGGACAGAAATCTCAGACCTCCTTTCCCAATTGCTTTCAGTCATCTTAGACTCAAACAAGCAAATTTAGTTTTTAAAAGATTAATGAATAATATTGTCAGTGATACATGATGCCTGCTTTAATGGACACATAATTAAACCTAGGTCCCCGCTCCCCATATCTGTTTGACAACTGGCCATGCCTGCAGGTTTCAAAATGATATTAGCTGTCCAGTAGGTGGCAGTGTAGGGAGTGAAACCAGAATCAAAAATCTGAAAGTCTGAAATTGAGGCCAAGCAGAGAAAAAGAGGCGTGTCCCCACAACACTAAAAGTGCAAAGGAGTATCATGAGACACAGTAATCATGGGTCTACAGATGAACCATCTTGCACTTGATCTAGCATGCTGAGATGTTAAGTGGCACACATAATAACAGATATTTTTCAGTGCTTTTTTTTTTTTTTACCGTTGATCCTTTTACTCCAGGTGGTCCAGGAAGGCCCATCTCCCCTCGATCTCCCTAAATTGTACAAAGTATAAAACTTACTTTAGGACTTATTTTGGACTGAATTGACACATGCAAGTCCTTTGTTTTCATTTTCTTACCTTCTCTCCTGCCAGCCCTGCCTCTCCCACAGGTCCGATAAAACCCACCAAGCCCTAAAAAACAGAGACTCAGCGTTGGATGGATAAATGGAAAGCGTCTAATGGATAAGTAGCTTGGGAAAAAGTACCATCATTCAACACAGGAAGAGGCAATGTCAGGGATTCTTACTCTTTCTCCCATGGGACCAACTTTTCCTGGGATACCGCCTTCTCCCTGCAGATGCAAATCCACTATTATTCATGAAGTAATCATGAAAAGTGCATCTTTCCTGTAAAAAAAGGAAAGCACTGGCAAATGAGTTAGAGTTTATTCACCTTAACTCCCTCTGGGCCAACCTTCCCAGGAAATCCTTTTCTTCCCAATCTACCCTGAAAAAAAGAAGAGCAGCGGAATAACGAACTGTGAGTAACAGGCGGTCACTGAGCACTTTTTCATATTAATAACAAACTCTCAGTGAGTCGAAGGGGTCTGTTTACAAGATGGACAGTTTAGTGGGTGGGTGAAAAATATCTCCTGTGTGCATGCCATCATCTGCCAAACAGGCAGGTATTGCTGACAGCACATTTAGACGGGCTGCCTGCCTAAGTGTTCAGTGACTATGAGCTTTTTTTTTTTCTGAACCAGCAATAACTCCAGGTCAGAAATGTCTCAGCCAAACTCCATGAGACTGAGTGACTCAGTTTTTCCAAAGATTTAGCTCACATTGGTTGGCAGCTTTAGTAAAATTGTTAACTTACACTTTATTTCACTCAAACAGGCAATAAATGTCAATTTAAGTTGCAATATAAAGATAAATAGTTGCTCTCCAGAACTTGTGACTTCCTGTTACTTGATTTATATTAATGTCCAAAAGTTTATGACCAAACGGATAAAAAATAATGAACAAAAGGTGCAATGCCAAAGAGTAAGACCAAGGATGGTCATATGAAAATCTGTATGCATTGTAAAAAAGAAAATTAAAGCAAGGACTGAGGATGTGTTAGAGCAGTGAGGTACAGGTTCACGTCTGGCGGCTCGCCAGAGCTCCCACGGGAGCCAAATGCTACTTCCACTCGGACTGAAGACAAGAAACAAGTCAGATTATGAGACAAGCAGGTGGGCGGAAAGTGGGCAAGTGAGGAGGGAGTTAGACTGATAGAAAGTGCAGACAAAGAAAAGAAGATTCACATGATGTATCTGGGATAACAATTAGGTCGCATAAATACTTTAAAAACATATGTAGAGAAAATATATACATTTTTTTAACTTGTTAGTAAAACGTAGGAAAGGAAAATACAGGATTAATCTGTTTCTGCAGTGACCCATTTCAATATTCCAGTTTCTCTTTAATAGTAGCTATAAATCTGAGCCATTCATGAATATGGTGATGACAGCTATCACCCCCTGGCGGCCAAAGTGAAGAGCTACACATGGTTGATTTTTAATCTGAGTTGCAGCAGAATCACTAAAACAGAAATCATGTTTTTTTTTTTTTTATTTGATCCTGAGGGAGAATAAATATATTATATCACCTCACTGCTATCTGAGAACGTCTGAATTAGATGCTTTTACCTTAAATGTGTACCTGTATTAGTTATCATGCACTTCTAAAGGGCATTTTTACATTGGACCAAACATACATGTAGTACAAAAATTATGTGCACATTTTTTAAGCAGAAAGAAGTACAGAGGGATCTATTTTTACATTTAAAGTTCGAACTTTTGTTTTAGAAGGAGCAAATACGTACATGAAAGAGTAAGAAGCAAGGAAAGGCAAGAGGACAAAGGACAAAAATAATCTGGCTCTAGAGATACAATATTAACCAAGTGGGACTATTAACCATGCAGAAGTCAAGTCGTCAAAGTAGGGGAAAAGTGATTATTGAGAATAAATAATTTTATTAGATATGTGGGTGCGTGAAATAATAATAATAATATAAAAAAAAAAGAAACAGAGACTATAAAGTTATCTCTTTTATCTTGCTATCTACTATCCCAAAACAACTCCTGTCTAATTATTATTTTACCTCAAGTCCTGATGGTCCCGGTGGCCCGATCGGTCCCTCGTCTCCCTGGAAAAAAAAGAAAACAGATCTCCGTGAGACAAATTTTTTAGGGATATTAAACGCTACTCACTGAAAAGGAGGCTGATGTCATGAGGTAGTGTCTGTCGGTTGTACCTCTAGGCCAGGTATCCCTCGGGGCCCCGGTAGACCTCTGTCTCCTTGTTTTCCCTTCATTGGTAAAAAAGCATCAAAGTGTAATTTGACATCGTTATATAAACATTCTTTCAGTCATGGTATCCTAATCAATACGAAGCTGAATCATGACTTCAATATCCAGCAGAAATCACTGCTGTGCAGCAATGACAGGGAATCAATGAGATGTTCTGTTTTTTCGATTTTGGATCATTAGTTGTTGATAGCTGAGTGTGTGAAGAGGATGGTTTAACTCACCTTTGGTCCTTCAAATCCGTTTTCTCCCGGTGGTCCCATGTCACCAGGAAAACCCTATAACAAGCGATAAGAGAACTGAACTCTGTTCTTAAAGTGGAGATAAACCTAAACAGAGCAGATTCAGGTGCAAACCTCAGGGCCTGGTGGTCCAGGTGCTCCATCAGGACCTTTCTCTCCAACTTTTCCCTGTTACAAAAGTAACATAATATAAATGCCCTAGCATTGTGCTTATGTGCAGATTTGCAATGCTGTTATCTCATCCCTTTCCCTATGCATCTGATAGTTCACTAGGCGTACTAAACTTTTATTCAAAATGAGCTCTAATTACAGAGCCTTAGTCAGAATATTAGCGTTTTACACCAAAGCTCACAGTGAGTCTCTTTTGATCCAATGACATACTTCCATGTAAAGGCTCTGCTTGGTTCAAAAATATTTAGATTTTAAATTATTTTAATTTAACCAAGAAATTTATTTTTAAGGGAAAATGAGAAACAATCAATCAATAAAAAAAGAACTGATTTTTGTTTTAATTTGTTTTTGTTTTAAGGGCATGTTAAGCCAGTGTTAAGCACATTTCATGCAACATGCACCTTCTCCAGAGGTTTTCTGTCAGATTCAGTTTGTGACTAACTGGGGGAATTTGGAATGCAAATATTTTCTCTATTAAATACAAGAAATTTAATAAGCTTAACAGATTAGTCCCATCCTATAATAGCTGCAGAATCTTTGCTGCCGCCTAGAAGACAGCTGCAGTCCTATGTTTTGGTCACAGGTGGCAGTATCATCAGAAAACTCTGTAATCCCAGTTAACAGCTAAAGTAGATTAGCTGTTAACTGATCTACCTTTAACCATTTAGATCAGCCCTCATTTTGAAAAGTGTGATGTGAATAATTGAACATATTAAATAAATCCTGGAAATGGAGGTGGATCAAGTCTAACCTGTGGTCCTGGTTTCCCACGAGGGCCTTGTAAACCTGGAGCTCCTTGGATACCCTAATAAGAACAAACAAAGATTGTTTAAAATTGTTTAAAAGCAAAACTTGATTTCTTTTTAAGGAAACAGATAATACACATGCATAAATCCCTGTCTACTCTGTGTCCCTAGAGGCCACTTTCCTCTCTGTTAGACCAGATTTTACTTACACACACAGAGACAAATGTGAGAGACTGACATAAGAATTTCCATAAGGTGGACGGCAGACATCTGGCTCAGTCATTTTGTGGAGGCATCAGTGCAACAAAGATTGTGCAACAAGGGACATGCATGATTGGAGGTAGTGTGCTTAAAGAGACTAATGAGGTTTAGTCTGAGGGGTGGAATGTGTGGGGAACATATGCATTAAAGTTACCTACCTTATCTCCTTTGAACCCAGCCTCCCCCTGCTCTCCAGGAATCCCAATGTCTCCCTGATATATAAAGAAGGATGCAAATGCATGGAGGATGATGGATGGATTTTGGACAAAAAGAGAGACAAATGGAGGGAAAAACATTAGGGAGGGGACTGTTACACTCAACCATATCAATCAAACAACTTCTTTCAACACGTACAACAAATAAGTGGGCTATAAATTGCAACTGTCAATGAACAATGAAAGCAGTTCAATAGAGTAGCCAAGGTTTTCATGTGGTGTCAATCTGTCTCCTAAAAGGCCACAATAAAAGCCACTCGGGTCCCATTGCACCATGTGTATCAGAGAGGATGTCAGTTTTCAGCAAATTGTATATTGCAGAGGTTTGCTCATTTTTAGCTCCCCTCTAAATAACAAATAACCAAATTATATGTTTATATTGCTGGTAGAAAACATATTTTCAAATCTTGATCCTTTCTGTTATTGGCATCTTTTCAGTCGGTACCATTTTCTCTGGATTTTTGTAAGAAAAGATCTTAAGATGGTAAAACATCCTCCCTGAATCAACTTGTGTTAAAGACTCTGCAACATGTTTAAGTCTAATTCTGTTCTATTCAGTTTTTGTTTAAAAAAAAAAATGGCATCTTAAATTTTACAATTCACATCCTCTTATATACAAGGAATGTAAAAGGGATACATACTGTTGTTGAAACGGTAGTTTTTTATCGGAGAAAACATGAAACAACACTGAGACAATTTCTCCACAACTTTTACTAAAATGAGACAGATAATAACCATGGAGGCCAGCAATAACATAAAAGAGGAATTTGTGGTTATTACTAGTAATGTTTTATATCCCATCTTTTTATCGGGATGTAGGAGCAGCTTTGAAAGACAGAAACCTTTTCTTAGAAAAAAACCTCCTAATCCTGGCAAGGCTTTCCCAAAACCTTGGCCTAGAATTAGTATATAATAAGGACCGGTAAAACAAATCAAAACCAAAAACAACACTGACCCTCAACAGAGACACACCACAAACACTAAACCAAGCATGATGCTGCCAGCAATGTGTTTGATGTATGAAACACATTGCTGACAGCATCATGCTCGGGGATTACATTTCTAAATTTGAGACCATACTTGTTTGTCAGGGTGAAAATTGATGATTAAAAAACTGTTGCACGTTTTGACCTCAAACTTTTAGCATTTTAAGAGATGATGAGGGATTTAAATTTTTATGCTCACCATGACTCAAAGTCAGTTTAAATCAACACATTTATTCCCACTGTGACCCAATCATAAAATTACATTCATAAACGTGAAGGTCAATAAGCTCTTAATTACACTTTATGAAATTAATGAAGCCTAATTAATTGGCTACTAAACCATTAGTAATCCAAAAAAAAAAAATAAAAATAAATGACCAAATTATTATTAATCATATATGTTTTACTTGACTTATATTTTATACTCATTTGTGTGCATATAAAAGGAGCAAATCTCTAATCGTGTTTCACAATGTTCTAATAATATGTAATTCAACTATTGACCGTTAAAATTGTTAATCCCGTTAAGTGTTCAAATTAAAAATGGAAAAGGTAAGACCTTACAACAAATGCACGTCAGTAAATAACATTAGAAGCCAATATTTAAGAAAATTTGTCAAGAACTGTGTTCTAAAAATGCTTTTGATGGTCTGTGTTGTTTTTTCTAGTCAGATGAAAGATGAGAGTGTGGTGAAAGCATGCTCCATTTCTAAAGACTGATGGAAACTGGGACATTCAGAAACACATAGTACATAATCATCACATGCTGCATGAAACAGACCAATAACAGGAATATTCAGATCACCTTATCACCTTTCAGTCCTGGTTCTCCAGTATTTCCGGGTACCCCCTAAGATAAAAAAAAACAAAACAAAAAACACATGGAGGTTAGAGTTACAACCTGCAAGTTAGCCCACAGGATGGAGGGGGTGGGCAGGCCCAATACCGGAAACCTGCATGTTTTAGATGTTTCCCTGCTGGAACACACTTGGATCATATGATGATGGTGATGATCACATTATTATTCTACTCACGCAGAATTAGTACCAATCTGAGGAGAAAAGTTAGCTGTTTTATGTCACAACAGCGACACATCTGAGACATGCATAAAGCCTGTTTTTAAGGACCTTTCACAGAGCTTCACGTAAAATTGTTTTTTTTTTCATTTATATTAAGCAACAAATAAAACTATTCTTGTGTTTTATAACACTAAGATTAACAGCAATAAAAGGACAGACTCTCTCTGTGTGGTTTGAGAAATTACCTTGAGTCCAGCAGGTCCAGGAGGGCCCATTTCTCCCACAGGTCCCATGTCACCCTGAAGCCATGGAAAATACGGCAATGAACAATAACTGTTAAGTAATAACATATGCTTGAAGTGTGGATAAATAAAAATATACTTTAAACGCTTATAAACGTGAAGCATCTACATTTTGTTTATCAACTGAAAGAATCAATTCATTGTTTCCAGAGCAGAGTAAAATGGAGGATCATATGTTTGCATCTGCAGGCCAAGATTGTGATTCATCTCCAGCCTGAAATAAAGAGGAGTTTTGGCTCAGGGTGTCCAACATTTGCCTCTTGAGTAGGGTTGTATCTCCATGTGTGACAAAGTAGATTATTTAGGAATATGGCAAATAAAAATCTCTTAAAACAAATCTGATCCTTTGGCTTTGTGATCTTAGATGTAGAGAAGGTTCTTCCTGGATATTTGGGAACATCTAATGCAAAATGATGATACTATTTAAGCATGGCGTTGCATATGTAGTTTTTGAACATAATCCACTATCTTAAATGTTTTTAATTATTTCATAGTCTGGTGGAGATCAGTGAATAATTGTGATGTGGAAGGAAAATGATACAGTTTACAATTAATTTAACAAATAAAATTATGATGAACATTTGCAATCAGCCTGAATGCGTTGCTACTTTGCAGAGGTCTCTACCAGTTTTTGCAAATCTAGAGTGTTGTGCACAGTCTTTCCAAAAAGCTGAAACTAAATCAGATTGGAAGGAGAACGGCTGTGAAAAACATCTTTAATGTTTTCTAGAAATTCTCAGATTTATGTTCGACTTTGTCAAGGCATTTTTAAACTATCCTTCTTTTACTTAAACATTTACATTTCAGCGTCAGGTGTATGCATCTGTTGGAGAGTGAAACTCTGGGTATAAAATCTCAAACAGCTTTTTCTTAGCGTTTGGCATGTATGTATCTCCACTCCTCTTCTTGTGAACACAGCTTTATCATCTTAGCATGATGCCATAGTTCATAAGGAGGACTGGTGCGTTTAGGAAAATTTGAAGAATAAATTTACTGCAACAAATATTTTTTTATGTTTTTTTGTCCCATTTTCATATAAGGGTTTCCTTATTGGCTTGAGCTATGGCTCTGTTCTACCAGAGTCACTATGAAGCTCTTGGTTGCTTCCAAAATTAAAGCTCTCCTTGATCGGTCCATCAGCTAAGGTGGACAGCCATTTCTCGGTAGATCTGGACTCATGCCATATTCTTTCCCTTTTTGGGGGGAATTAAAAAGTTCATCATGTCACATCCAAAGCATTGGACATCTTACCTCAGTGTAAGATGTCTGGTTCTTCATGATGCAATCGGTTTGCTATATCTTAATTTTTTTTTTATATGTACAAAAGCTTGAAAACCCTGCATCGTGTTCCTTTGTTTTAGTACTACTTTTTATTGTGCTATCAATCTAAAAGCAAATGTGGAAAAGTTTAAGAGGTGAAAAAAAAACTTTTTTTTTCAAGGTGCTTTAAGTTTTAGAATCATCAGCTACAACAAAAGGTTGCTCTGTTTAATTTTAAGGCCAGAGCAACCTGTCCAGCCAAAATCCATTTAAACAGAATGAGAGAAAAGTAACTTTTTAGGACATGGCTCAGAAATTACATTTCAGATACTTCAAATAAGAGACAAGGAGAGAAAACTTCTTTGTCTTTTGTGTTTGGAGTTGAGTAAACAAAAACAGCTGTCTAGACATTTTCTGCTCTCCTCATATCTACAGTGGCCAGGCTTCATTTAAAGGTTTCAGCAACGACTCCCCAGAGCAGGGTGTTTGTATACTTAAATCATTTAAGTGGGGCTCATTGTTTCTCATACAGCATGCATTGGAGTCAGATGGGTGTAGAGGACATGAAGCTGGAGTTTCAGCTATAATCAACCAGTCCGACGATTACAGGCCCACTACAACCGCTAGTGGCCTAGAATAGACCAGGAGGAGTGGCAGTGACAGCTGAGGATGGGACACAACAAGAGAAACCAGTGAGACATTATAATCTGGTGTAATTATGTGGCTGTCGGGCCAGGGAGGCATGCAGGGCAAGGTGATGGGTGGGCAGCGGGCTGCTACTGTCCAGAAATAGTTAATGGGGGGAGGACTCCCGAAGAGAAGATGTGTTGTGAGGTTTTATCTGGTTTAACAAACTTTGGAGAACTGTCGATCATGTTGCCCATATTCACAACAAGGTCTGTTTCCCCCTTTCAAACATGTCCACGGTGATCTGTAGGCCTTAGTTTGTGGGAGATTAATCATAAAATTACCTGACAGCGTAAAATAACCATAGGAGGAAATGGGGAGGTACATTTTTTTCAATTAAGCAGACACATTAGGTTTCATTAATTAAAAAAAAAATGTTGTACGGGAAAATAATACAGAGATGCACAGAAGGTCAATGAGGACAACAGGACTCCCTTGAAAAAGAGATTGTTAATCTCAATGGGACTTTTCCTGGTTAAATAAAGGAATAAAAACTCACAATTAGTCCGGGCACTCCGTTTGGACCTGGGGCGCCCATGTCACCCTAGTCAGAGAGGAGGGGAAAGATAAAGGGAGCAGGAGAAGCAGAAAGGGTTACAGTTTATTGCGTGGTATAGTTTATAGTTATTAAAAAAAATACAAATAAAAAATACCCAGAAGAGTGGCTCAGTATTCAGTAAAGCTTATGAGAGGAGACTGTTTGCATGTATGGGTATGTATGTGTTTGTTTGAGGTAAAGGTTGGTGGAGTATGTGAGCGCCATCGTCTCATATTGGCATTTACAAATATGCAGGTTACTTTTACCTCAAAGGGAAGGAAAGATACTTTTATGGACCACAAATTTGAATCCTAATTATCATGCTGTTTGTCTTCCAGATAAACTACCAAAACTTCAAATGACTGATCGTTAATCAGTCAGGAACCCCCCCCCCCCAAAAAAAAAACACACAAAAAAAACAAATTGACAGAACTGGTACTTTAAACTCTTTCTCTCTTTGTTTAATAAGAGGAAAAACATTTTTACAAAGATTTGTTACATGCTAAAAAAGGAGAATGAATAAGATAACAGGCCAGATTCACAACATTCATTCAGTGTTTTGCAGTTTGAATCCTAGGATTTAAAATTTCTCATTCTTAAATGCAAGGAAAAAGACTAGGAGACTTATTTCAGCTAGGCATCTAGGAGTGGGCAGCAACAGATGGGGGAGGGGTAGCCTCGAATTAAAAGGCCTGTAAAACTTGAGAGCAGAATTACAGGAAGGCTTTGAAAGCTTATATTTTTAAACACCTAGTTATTCATCAATAATGGCAACTGGCTTATTCCCAGTTGGAAGACAAAACTTACTTTCAGGAAACATAAAAGCTATTAATCTAATTTAAGGACCAAGTATTAAGGTAAAGAGCCTGATCTAAAGGGCTAAACCCCAATTGGAGAGGGGCTGTTGCTGTTCCTTAAATATGCAGACACAACATGTTTATTATTCAATTATAAGGGGGTCAACTTTCAACTTCCTCACTAGTTTGTATTTTCCATGAAGGCAGATTCGTAAAACTCTAAGTAAAAATACAAAAAAACTAAAATGTAATACAGTGAAACCATTTGATATCTTCCATATGAGCAGAACTATTTAACATGCTGTGTTTTCTGACTACAGCAATATACTGAATTAAGTGTGATTTCTCATTCTGACATTTAATTACATTATTTAGTGTTCTTAGATATCAGATTTTTTTAAAGACTGCATGTGGCGGTGGACAGCTCACAGCAGTGAATGGAAAAAATCCTCTCTGCAAACTGCTCACCACTTCACAGTGTGGGTTTTTTTTTTTTTTTTTTTTTTGAAAAATGGGGGCCAACTGAAATTATTTACAACAGACCGAAGGCATGGGATGAAACTGAATACATTAGTAAAACTTGTTCAGAGTAACTTCAAACAAAAAAAAAAGAAGACAGATGGGTAGAAAGCCTTCGTCATTTAAGCAGCAGCTAAAACACCAGGGGGACTGCGTGTGCTGGTGGGAAGGTTTAACTCTCACTAGAAGCTCATGCGTGTAAAAATGTGGACTGGTTAATGTGTTATGTGAGTGGTAGGTGAATACGGAACATACTGGCTCTCCATCTGGTCCAGGTGGTCCTCTCTCCCCAAAATCTCCTGGGAACCCCTGAGAACAAGGAGAAAAAATGTTAGATTGATGAAGTGATTTCCAATGTAAGAACAGACTTTTTTGCCACTTGAGGGAGACATAAACACCTTTTCTGGGTTAATTAAATGAGAAATCGAATGCTAATTAAAAATCCAGCATTTGCCTCTAGTAATCGGTTTTAAAGTGACTGCTTGTGGACAAACAAATTAAGAGGTTAAGTTTTGTCTTTTGCTCAGTTTTTGCACCCCAATAACCTCCATAGGATGTATCAAGCAGTCTGGAAAAATGATCTTGAAATAAGTAAAAAAATGTCTTAAATTAAGTGTATTTACCCTTAAGTTGAGTAGGTAAATCAGATAGTTTGCCAATGGAAGGAGTATTTTTACTCTTAAAATAAGACAATTAGATAAAATGCTCTTGAAATAAGACAATGCAATTGTGTTTTCTTATTTTAAGTGTAAATTGTCTTGTTCCATTGGCAAAATGTCTCTTTTACCCCCTTAATCCAAGAACAAATGCACTTATTTTAAGAAAAAATGACTTTTCTAGATTTAGATTTTTTCCAGTGAAGGGACTGGATATTACAAATTATCTGTACATTACTGAACATAAAAATTTTTATATGCAGCATCGTTTCATCTGCTTTGCTGTTAACAATGGTTTGATGCTAGAGAACCCATGGCAAGCAACTTGTAACAGGTCTCCATTGTTGTGTTTTCCAATACACTTAATAGACTCTTAATACCTCTTCGCCCATAAAAAACAAGTCATGTTATTCAAATTTAGGGCTAAAATTTACCAAGTCAATCTTTTTCCTGAACAAATAAAGCTACTATTGTAGCTAAACAGCAATTACAATAATGTTACAGGGTCAAAAGCAATGTTAATACAAAGTAATTGGAGAATATGCTTAAAACGAGAACATTTTGGTCCTATTAAAAGCATTAAATCTAATAACTATAGGGTGTGGGCAGTTTGCTGTTGGTAGCTTTTAAACTGTAGAAACAAAGAGAGTGAGCCAAGCAATTATTCTGTCCATTTAGCAGTAATCAGGAGGCTAATCTGAGCTTTAAAAACCATTTGTGCTGCTGCAGAGAGCAACCACATCTGCAGAGAGCCCTACCGCCAAGAGCTTTAAAACCGAGACCATTCAGAAAGGCTCATAATGTCTACTTTCCGCTATTCTCGCCTCAATGCATTGTTTTAGTGTGCTAATTAAGGTAACCTCCAGATAATGTCAGTTATTTCTGTCTGAGCGGTAATGTTCAGATGAACGGCATGTATGTTTTACTTTAATCACAGAGTCATTTTAGAAACACAATCTGCTGCCTAAATGTAGCTTTGTGTGTTTGACTTTTCAGCACTGCATAAAAAAAAAAAAAAAACGAAACAGGGACATGTTTTGGTTTTTTATTTATTTGGAGTAATAATCATAATCCAGAGCAATCTACCTAAGAAACATGAAAAAGGGCTCAATGATTTAGGCAGCTCAAAGTTATAAAGAGGAGACGCAAGTGTAAATGAAATTTTATGAAGTACGGTAACCCAAAGAACGACTCCACCCATGAGTAAAATCATAAAAAAGTAGTTAAAATAACAATAAAAAAATACTTGCACCTAAAAAAAGGGATAGTATTTCCTCCCTGAACTGAAAGTTCAAAACAGTTTAACCCTACAGTAGATCAATTTCCAATATTCTTTATGTAGTTTGAATCCAAACCCAGCAAATGGCTAGCCTGAGAGGGACCAAGACCGAAGGAAAATTTTTCTATTCTTTGCACTATTTTATGAACCTTTAAACCAAAATCTCCCTCTGACAGTTATTTAAAGAGAGGTTTATGATTATTTACTCAGGAAATGGAGGATAAAGGCAGTGTGCCACCAATAATGTTCCTGCAAGCTGAGCTTGTAAAGTTCCCTTTCCAGAGAAGCTCACAATTAGCACTGAAAGTCAGCAAACCTCTCAGCAGCAAACAATTTTATAGATATAGAAAGTATTCATTTGATGTAAAACAGATTTGTAATTTTGTATTTCATGCATATTCATTATCGGTGCTCTGTGTTCTCTATTAAATGTTCAGCAATGCTTTCTCAATTTTAGGGTTATTCTAATTTGCTCAATATAAAAAGCAGTTCACTTCAAAATATTTTTTGCTTTTTAAAAACATACTTTTGTTTTTTACACTGCCTTTACTTCTATTTTCATAAGACAGTTACTGTGATTTGAAATATGTTACGAGAACCTATTTAATTATATGTTTCACTCGGGAAGATGATTGTTGGCGCACCATCTCTTCCATTTACTGTAAATTGTCACTGTTCTCTTGGAATAACAAGAGAGACAAACCAGACAATATTTTGAAGGGTTATAAGATTTTGTGGTTAGCAGTTGAATTCCAAAGTGTTAAATATATAGTAATCAAAGAGTTATTTTAAAACAAATTCGGAGTGGGACCAAATGTACTCGGATTGGTGCTAAATTGAACTTTTAAGTTTTACTTTAACACTGCAAAATTTAATGTGTGGAGCTGTCTTTTGGAGGTAAGATATGAAATTCCTAAAAATGATTAAAAAAACCAGCAATAATTTATTTAAGGAAATCTCTTCCACATAAATAAAACTACATTTGATTCTAAATAAAAAAGCCAAACAGATTGATATGAAATATAACGTGTAATACATGTCGTGAAAAAACTTCAGCTGATGAGGCTGACAACAGGGAGAGAAGAACTACCAAAAGACAAATGTGGGCAGACATTATTTAAAAACTGGCAATGCAGTTTGGAAAGTTTTTCTGCTGTTTCAGGTATATCTTGGTCTATGGGAAATGGCAGAAATCGTCTCCATGTGTTGCACTTTGACAGAGAACAAGCACTGCGGTTATGGCCATCAAAATGTCTGGCTCAGGATTGAACTGCTTTTTCTTCCTAGAAGACAAGACCCATCTCTGATGGATCGTCTTGTCAACTGTCCTCATGGTCAATTTTTCCTCCAGGAGCAATTAGAAGGAGATTCCAAAACCACACCATTACATAACTCCTCCTGACACCTTATTCTCAGCTCATAATAAACATAAAAAAATGTAGGACTCATATTTAGCTCAGTGAAGCCTCGAAATGCATAACTGCAGCTTTCATACATCATCTGTTATGTACTGCAGGCAGGAAGAGATACAAACCAGAAGACAACTGTTCTATGTAAATACTTTTAGCTTTATACGATCTGTGAAACAACCAGAAAGAATGTGTTTATGGCAGATACGTGTCAGCTCATGAGCCTAACAGAGAATGTGTCTCCAGAGAGAGCAGGTAAAACGTAAAGTAATAAAAACAAGAGAATGCAGCCATACTATCTTCCTATATACTCCTCTTTTTAAAATCATATAATTACCACTTCCAACCTTTAAATAGAAAATCACATACAAGGTATTTAACTAGGTTTTGATGCCCTTGTGGACTTTAAAGAGTTAAAAAAGATATTTACCAAAAACAAAGCTATTATTTCTAACAAATTGTTGGGGAACACCAAATTAAGTAGTTCTACACTTAATAAAATAAAAGGCATTGGTACCATGACGATGTGCTACATAGGACACATTTATTTCAAGGCAATTTATATATCTTTTGGAGGGCTAAAGTAACTGTAGCTGTTGCTGATCATTGTTAACATATCGAGCAGGTTAAGTGTTTTTTTTTTCTTGCTTTTCATAAAATCTCCATATTTTAATAGGGAAGGAAAGATATAATGCAGAAAATGAAAATTAGCAGATAGAGAGCCTTGTTTAGCAAGTATTCAGCAAAATTAATTCATGCTTCAAGATTAAATTAGAATATATTTAGTCTGAGATGTTTCAAACTCTGGAAGTATTGACTTTAATGGTATTGCTAAGAAATGCTGGTATTACACCTTAAAAGGTGACGGAGAGATGATTTGTATAACCTCACTGATGTTTGCATCACCTCCTTACTGAACAGGGATTAGTCTTTTTGAAATTTGAAAACTAAGGTGGACAAGGGGCCATGAGACAGGGAAACTTTGGATTTAAAATTTTAAAATTTTAGCTGAACATTTTATATCAGTGGATATGATTGGTATTACCTTCCCCCTTTCTCCCCTCAATAAAAACCGAAAAGGTAAAAAACCTCCATGCCTTCTTGTATTTCTGTCTACATGTTTGAAAGTATGATGAAATCTTATTTACTGAAATAGTTGCCGATTATAATGAGTTGAGAACCCCTGCATTGCAACATAGGGGTATGATAAAGGAGTATCCTTTTTTTTAGTCAGGTGATGACTCAAGATCTCTGGTTGATATCACTGATGTATGAAGGTGCACCTAAGGTCACTAGTACACAGTTCTATTTAGCTGCTATGATGTGGATTCTGCATCAGTCTAATGCTGAAGAATACATTTTACACATGTAGTAAAAAAGTACAAATATGTATCTATCATAGCACATAAGATCACATTCAACAATGATTGTCTGTAAAGTATGTTGAGACAAAACTTTACCGGCCTACCCATCTTGCCCCTCTTCCCTGGTTCGCCTGGAATTCCCTGAAATCCAAAGAGGGTAGGGAAGACAGGGTAAAGAAGGAGTTTAAGAATGACATAGAAGAAAGAGAAAGTGGAAGTCAGTAAAAAACATATATTTAAAAGTCCAAACAACTTAAAAAATCACGGACAGCACTGATTTAACCTCAGAACAAACCATGGAAAAGCTGTGGCAGTATGTGTCTCCTATTTCATCTGTCGCCAGATGTGAGGAGCAGCTGACTGCAGCCCATTTAACATTTTTCCAAACCCTCATGTTGGATTCTCTACACTTCTATTGAGCATAAACACAAGTAGCTCTGGGGTAGATTGACAGACACTGTAGGGTTTATGAGCCGTTTTGTTGTCTGATGATGGATGGGTCCCGATTACAGCGCCCCCTGCTGTGATGCAGCCCCCGCCCACAGAAGCATGTTATAAGTAGGCTAATCTGTTCACGTTTTAGAGGCTGTACACAAGGAGGCGTGGGGTTCAGGCAGTTCAAAGGTTCCAGTTGGGGGTTTTATCATATGAGTCATCAACACTCCCACACACCAACATCCTAGACAGCTGGAGATTATTTATCTCGTTATAACAACTTCAAAACAGCTGAACAAAATCAGCAAGAGAGCCATCATTTGTAACTCACTGAAAAATTGTAGGGCTTTGAAAAACTATTGATGCTTCTTGCACTTTTTCGCTTTAAAGTCACAAACGTCAATACTTTTTACATGGAAGTTATGTAAAATATCAACACAAAGTAGTGAATGATCATAAGGTATAGGGAAAAAGTGTACAGGCTTCAAATGTGGAATTTTAATTCTATCAATGGGTGTCTCTCTGACAGTGAAGTCCTGTTGAGCCAACAACATTAAGAATTCACAGGAGGAAATAAAGACAACCTGTTTGTGACTTAATGTCAGTATAAATACAGCTGTGCCGTGGAGGCCTCAGAGGATTGTGGGGAACAAAAAACAAAAAAACCCTGAAAGATAAAGATGTTGGGAAGTTTAAATGAGCTGGGGGTTATAAAACAAGTGTTTCAATTATAGAAGACCTTTTAATCTATCATATAAAAATGACAAAATTTCAACACAACTTCAAAATTGCCAAAAACATGATCCGTCGCTTAAACTGAAAGAAAGGAAATGTATTTCACAGTTCAGGTCGGAAAACCATCTTTTTTGCCACATTTAATAATCACGCATTAAATGAGGCTAGTTTTTTTTTTTTTTTTTGAAGAGTAGAAAAGACACAAAGAAAATGTTGCAATAAAAAAAAAAAGAAAGAAAGAAAACTAAAAACATCAAAGCAAAAAGTAATGTCAGGGACACTGTAAATATGTAAAAAGTGGTGCTTTGGTAATATGAGACTGCAAACAATATTTCTGGGCGAGCACTATAATGCATAGCAGCATTATGATGTAGTGATCATTTTACTTCTAAATGAGCTGGGAAGCTGGTCACAGTTGATGAGAAGACGGACTGAGCTCAATATCGGACTAGTTAAAGGCTAGAGCTAATAAAATAACAATTTATGGAAGAAAATATAGGCTAGTAGCAGAAAATGACGAGTTTCACTCACTTTCATGCTTACATCTGCTTATTTTGAGATTTATATATTCATATAAACATCTACTATTTCAAATCCCAATAAAATATTTTGGCATTTGTGGTTATAAAATATAAAAAAACTAAAATAACATACATATAGTTCAGGTTTCACTTGTTAAGAGCAAATTTTTTGCAAACCTAGAAACAAATGAGAAATATGCATTTGAGAAGAACTTACTCTTTCGCCATCAGGGCCGGGCAGGCCAAAAAGGCCTGGGATTCCAATGAAACCCTGCAGGGAAAGGAGAAGAAACCAGGGGCACAATTGTGAGTGCTTAGACAAAGTACTATACAGGAAGCAAGTAGAACAGCAGCTCCCTTCGGCTCTGAGGCTGGGTTTCAGGGCCCGAATTTCCAGCATGGGGCTTCCATGAAGAACCAAGCCATGAGGCAAGTGTATATGCCCATGGACTGCATGGTGCTGGCTTCCACGATGTAGTCCAAGGGCACATACCCTCACGCCAGGGATCTCTGAAGATAACCGGGGCGACACACTGGGCTGTCAGTACAGTGGAGACACACACAGAGGGAAACAAGCACAAACATCACAGTTAAACTATAGAGGAACAGTTAAGATGTGTGTTATTGACGAGAATGAACCTGAGCAGTTTCACTTTGCACAACACAGAATATGCACCAAGCAGGAGGTGTGATGTTGAAAGGTGGCTGAGTGAAAGGGGGAGAAGGGACTAGAGTGCCTCCTTAAGACAGCAGGGCCTCATACGGAGCTTAAACAGGAAATTCCAGCCTTCGGGGGCAGGGATCTTTGGACAAGCTAAGGAAAGCTGATAAAGGACCTTTATAGGAACACAACATAAAAATCAGTTTGTGTCCCTTTCTGTTTTTTTTTTTCCTAAGAGGTCTATGTTTGTATGCAGAAGATTATCAACCTGCAGATTTTCAGAGAGCACTTGTATAAAGCGCCACAGTGTTTACACCACATGTGAGGGCGCTGCAATTTCAACTGACTATTAATAGCAGTGCATACAGACTGGGTGAGTGAGAATATGTTTATGTGTGCAGAGGTGGATGCTGGAGCACCAAGTATGCATTCTTTTCATGCATGCATGCATGCATGTGGATGTTGTTTCACTGAGCTACACAAGCATGCTTTCATGCAGCACAGCATTTACAGCATAAAGGACATATAGTGTGAGGCTCTAAAAAAAATAAAACAACAACAACATTCTGCTTAAACACAGATTAACATCCCAATTCTGCTAAGACTGTGTCAGTGAGCTGTCAGGGTGAAAACCTTGCACATACATAATCACATCCACCATTTATGTTAAATCACCATATTCACTCGTTTTTATCAGAAAACATCCAACTTTAACAGCACACCCCCTTACCCGAATGCCTTTCAGTCCTTTTGGTCCAATAGGCCCCGGTAATCCCTAAAAAGTAAAAAGAAGGAATAAAAGTTAACATCTCATTTTTTCCAACTAAATAGATAAAAATGACAAATCTTAATCTACTTCTTATTCTAGCTTAATACTTAAATCTGTTTTAAAGCATTTTTGTATGATGATACTATATGAAAATGACTATTATTACGCTTAACTACAAAGCAAATACAAATACAAGACTATAAAATCCACTGCATACCAATTGATACAATTTAGGCAAACTGTTTGGTATTTTATGGGAAACTTTATTCCAAGTCATCTGATCAGCACAACCTAATTCCACTCTGGCTCTCTGCCTTGCTATGGCCCTAACAGCAACTGTACCAGTCACAGCAGAGGATTTACTGCACCTGCCTGCCAGGATAACCTTTGGCACCTGGGCTTCCGATTGGACCCTGTTCTCCCTGGTGGGCAGAAAAAAAAACGAGTGGCAGAGACAGAAAGAAGAGTGGGATTGATGAAAAAATTCACCACAAACAAACATTTGTGCACAATTGGTAATATTTAATTAAGTTTCCATAGATTTTAGTAATTACACTAGTAATGCAGCAGTGCTAATTGTGGAAAGTATAACTGTATTTTAAAGTACACTTTAAAACATCTGTAGTTGACTTTAACTACAAAATTATGTTTATAGCACACTTGTAATATGTTAAAGTTAGATTTAGCCAGATTTTGTGATTGAACAGGTCTAGTGGCCTCGCTGATTTTCTTGGAAAGGGGGTTTTCCAGTATTTACATCTAAAATTCCAACTCAGAGCTATTAAAAGCTATAAAATACTGTTCAACTGTTAAGCTGTGTAAAATGACTACTGTATCACACGTAAACTGGTATTATCTCTGCTCTTTAAATATATTAAACCTTTCTTCACTGCAAAAAGCCTCTTGCCGCTTTTCTTAAGGTAGAATAAAATAATAAATTAGTTAAAATCCTTTTCTCTCGGATTTTGTTCAGCTTTGGACCAGCATTGATACTATTCATAATGGCTTACAGCTTAAACGAGGTTTATAGACATTAGATCCTGTTTTTTTTGCTTCTGCAAGGGTTCTAAGCATAATAAACTCTATGATAGATCCTTTTACCAATTAGAGAAAAATCTAAACTTTGAGTTAATGCACAAGTTTAGAATTATAGATAATTAGTTTGGTAAATCTCATCAATGCATCATGATGACTTATGGAAGTGCTTAAAAACACATTACAGATATTGGCTTTGATGAAAACTATCCTTTTCTCCCCAGTTTTCCAAATGTTTTCTGTGCAGAATCCGTAGATGCTGATTAGGAGGTCATGCATGTTTATGTAACTTCTGGAAAGCATAACAAACACACACACAAAGCAGGTTGTGTCTGAATTTCACAGAGCACAAGTATTCATGTATAACTTCCTTTGACGCAGCCCACGCATGCTACTTGCCATTCCTTCTCTTGGATAAATATAGTGCATAATGCTGCTAGTTAGAAGGAGACAAGGCTTTGGCTAAGGGTGGGTTTAGATCCCTTACTGGCCAGAAGATGGGAGGAGCCCTGACCACAGCCAGAGGTATATTACAGTAAGCAAAAAAAAAAAAAGTCAGCAAAGTCAGCAGAAACAGCATGAGCACCAGCTGCTCTATGAAGCATCCAATGCCAAACAGTTGTGCCTGTTAGTCAGAGACTGGTGCTATGGTGATTCAAACTGCAGACCAACAACGTTATCATCGTCATCATAATCAGCAGCAGATCTGTGGGAAACTGAGGGGAGTTTGAGGCAGGACATGTGGGAGATATTGTTAAGAGAGAAGAAGCGCTAATTCCTTATAAAGAGCAGAGTGGGAACTCCCTAAGAAGATGATGTCATCCCGTAGATGGGACTTACCTAATTGAATAAGAGTTTGTCTTAATAAGGAATCTGAACGTCTTAGTACTTTTATGAGAGTTATGAAAAAATAAACAATTATGAAAAAGCTGAGCAATAAGAGGAATGTTACACTGCAAATGATCGACAACTATAAGTATGTTTGTTTGATAGCTGGCAGCAGCAGGGAGACACAAACAAAGACAATAGGGAAGCTTTCTCCAAGGCTGCGGTTTAATAGCCATGAATGTGTCACTGCTGGCCTAGTTGGCTCATTCCTGTTTCTCTTCACTCTCTTCTCTCTCCCTCTCTCTCTGGCATCACTTTCTAATATCCTGAGGAGTGTCACTGCAGCACAGTGCTACAGCCAGATGTCAGTTCTCACACGTGATTCACGATGGATTAATTTAATCTGGCTCCCTGCAGGCAAACTTGGGGTGCACACGCAAAGACTAACAGGTCAAAAAGCACCAAAATTATGATTAAGCAGTTACAGAATGAATGCAAGAAGTAATGATTCAATGTAAGTCATACAGACAAGATAAGCACGAGGATGATTAAAGCCTTTATATATTGGATTATCCTATAAAAATAGGTGAATAACCATAGTGCAATGCAAAAGATTTAGCATTGCTTAAATGTTTTTACATTTCATCTTGTTATGCATTAATGTGACTCTTTAATAGAATTTCAAAGTCTAGTATTTTTAGGTTTATGCACAGATTCTCATTCATATTTAGATCAGGACTTTCACTGAACCTTTTAAAAGTATGAACATACTAGTATCCACCATAGCCTTCACTAATTGCAAGCCTTTAGCAGTTTGTTTCTCCAGGATTTCATTAAACTATCTTTTGATCAATTCAGACATGCATCCCTGGCTGTACTAAAAAAAAGCCTACTGTTTTACGGTGCCAACACTATGCATCACCATTTGCACAGCATGTTTAAGATAATGGGCTTTTTTTTCCCCAGCACACAGTAGGACATGTCTAATCTGATCAAAACACCTTTGCCTACATTTTTCCATATATATTATGTCAAAAACTCCAAGCAGGGATTATTTTGCTGCCTGGTTGCTCCGGGTTTTACTTGGTATGTTAAGAGGTCTGAATATAAACACATGCCATACTTTTTACATTTTACTATGGAAAATATATGCATATATTTTTTCTACATATATTTCTTCTTAAAAATTACAGTAAATCTGTTGAAAGCTATATAAGTTTTTTTTTTTTTTTTTTCTTACAATGTGAGGCTAAATAACATGCAAAAACACTTTACAGGTTAGATATAAACAGGTGGAAACATACTGGCTCTCCAGGAAGTCCAGGTGGACCAGGGTAACCTTTCTGTCCCTGCAGAAACAAAAAAAAGAGAAAATGATGAAAGTATATAAGAAACAAAATAGAAAGCACACACATTCTTAGCAGGCTTTAAAATCAGTGAATAGAATAAATTGCAAAATCCTCAATAATACATGTTAAAATTAACAGCACCAACAGACCAATACAGTGCCATATGTAAGGAATCAATCTGCTCTTCTGTCAAAGGATCAGAGTTTCCACTAGCTATGCTCACAGAGTATTGGTGCCAGGTTTGTGGCATGTTGAGGATATAAATGCCTTCCTGTTTGAGTCAGATATCAGGGCTCCCAGGCTGTGTACAGGGCGAATGCAACACAAAATGCAACCCAATAGTTTTGCTGACTCCAGTAATGCAACCCCCCGTCAATGAGTGTAGAAAAACTAAATAAAATGTGGGAGGATATGCCACCACAGACCACAGCTTGATAGATAGAAAGAACAAAGCAGAAAAAAAGGAAAGAGGAGAAAAAAGCAAAGTAAAAACAGACATGGTAAATAAAGAAAGACTCCTGTTGTCTGGCTTTCCTAGACCAATGCTTTAGAGGAGGCTAAACCATTTGATTGCAGCGTAGAAAATGATGAGGGAACCAGGTTGCCAGTATTTTACATGAACGGTCTCACAGGCTTAGAAATACATTTCAAGACTATAAAATTTCCTCCTAAGCATAGAACTCTGCTGCTAAATAGCTGCTGCAAATGTACTGACAAAACATCAAATCTGGAAGTAGATAAACTTAGAACTGTTCTGTAAAGAAAGGTTCAGTTTAAGTCCCATTACTATTCTTAAATCATCTGATCTTATAAACAAAACTGCAGTGGAATAGTAGGACACAAAGTAAACAAAGGAATGAAAACAAGAGCAAAAGGAAAAAGAAATCAGAACCTTCAGGTTTGTAAATCATTTTCTATTCACCTTTCTCCACAAACTTCTAAATGTTTTCAATTGTGCAGTGTTGTGCATAAAATCCCCAACAATGCTTAAGTATGCAGGTTCACATCCTTTATCAAACTTTTAAGCTAACAAGGCTGTTTCTATCAGAGAAGATAAATGGTGCTGTCATAATTCTGTCCTTTCTGGAATTTTTGAGT